TGACGAGGACGTATTGTTTCAAAAAATAAGAAACGTGAAGATACAAAATGATTAATCCTTTTTAGCTGACAAAAAGTCGCAAGTAGACACAAAAAATAAATTTAATCGAAAGGATCGAAATAAAAAATTGATCAATTGAAATTATTCCTGAAAAAGGACTTAGTTTGTGAATAAATTACAACGCTATACGAATTGGAGTCTTAAACGTTAAAATTAAATATATATATATATATATATATATATATATATATATATATAAAAAAAGAAAAAGAAAAAGAAAAAAAACTTTTCCTGGGAATTTCATAATATCAGTTATAAATCTTGCTAACATTTCTATCATCTTTAGGAAATCTCGACTCGTAAAGAAAATTTTTACTCAAAGACAGAGAGGAGCGAGGAGTAAGGGGAACGGCAAACGTGCGAGGACGACGAAGGAAAGTGAACCTGAACTCCGTAAAGAAGAATCGGAACGGCGAAAGCGTAGGTCACTAACAGAGAGGTGGGTATACACACATTGGTAGTTAAGCGCAGAAACTCTCTGGTCGATGGCCGTGGCTGAGGTACTCGCGTCTTTGGAACAGTTTACGAGCACGTGCCTATACCAGAGAAGTGTGTTACTAGCGAAGCGTAACCGAGAGACCTCGACCAAATTAAATGTGCGGTCACTTCCTACGAACAACCACGGACTAGCCGTTTTATCGTTTTATCGTTTCCAGCACGGAAAACAGTGACAGTATCGAAACGACCTATGAATCTTGATCCGTTATTTATGCGAAGATTTCCTTCTCGTTCTAAATTTAAATAAAAACATTTGAAAAATGTTTACGACTATCGACAAAATCTTTTCATCGGATGCAAAAGCAAGCAATTAACAAAGACAAAGTAGAAATCAAAATCTAAAAAGATTATTATTGGTTTTAAGAATGGAAAAAAAAAAGAAAAAAAAAACAAAAAAAGAAAGAAAGAGAGAAAAGAAAAAAGTAAGAAAAACGCGTGTCCTCGTTTTACCGAGAGCTCGGACACACCATGGCGTTTCAGCGACCGACGTACCGTTCGCATCGATCGAACTTTAAACCGATACGCCTCGATGACGTCTACGATCTCTTCCATCGATGAGCGACGCTCGGTCGCTTTTTCTTCCCTCTCAAACCTCTCCCCCCGCTCTCGCACACTCTCCCTCTCCCTCTCTCTCTCTTTCTCTCTCTCTCTCTTCCTCTCCTTCTCCCAAGTTCGTGCTTTCGAACAGCTGCCAGATTGAACTTGTAGCACCAGCTGGATACTCGGAACGACTCTCCATTTCTCTCTCATGGCAACCTGAAATTCGCTTTTGGCTCGGTCCCATTTCTATCGTTCGACTCGCTTGAGATACCTCGATCGGAATTCGAACGAGCCGTTCTTTTTTTTCTTCTTCAATAAACAATATAATAAAAACTACGAGTAATGCATTAACTACACCTAATACGAATGTATGAATTACACAGCATTATAGGGAGTTAATCAACCGATGCGTACGTGTGTGCGTGGCAAACAAAACTAACTGTAAGAAAAGGACGAAAGATTGCTATACAATACCAAGTATACTGCTATGCTTGATGAGATGCTAATGATAAACACGATGTAGACGTAACGTGGGAAGGGAGAGAAATAGTTGCCATGTCGACAGACGACGCCGCCTCGGTGTCCCCGCTGTTGCTATGATGACGTAACTCGCGTCTTTACGTCACGGGAGGAAGAGAGAAAGAGAGATAGAGAAAGAGGAGAGAGGGAGTGGTTTAGACGCGACGCGACGCGACGCGTCCTCCTCACCCCATCTCTCCTCCACTGTCCAGGCTCGGTTCTTCTAGGGCAGGACAGCGTTACGTAACGAATCAATACGACGGATCGATCATTTTTTTTCTTTTTTTTTTTCTTTTTATTTTTCTTTTTTCTTTTTTCCCGATTTTTTTTCTTCGTCTAGGGACTCCTAGACGGTGATTGCGCGGAGAAAACATTGTTCGCGAATTAATGTTTCGTGTTAAAATTCGTAGAAAAAAAAATTTTTTTGTTGGAAAATACATATATCGTCGCAATGAACTCAATCCATTAAAAATTATGCGAAAACGATCGTCAACGTTTAAGCAAGTACGTGACCTCCTCCTCCTACGATACCAAAGGAATATCGTCATCTCCGAAAAGAGATAGAGAGTCAAAATCTTTCCCGAGAAAAGATTTTCTTTCTTCCTTTTTTCTTTATTTCTTATATGACAGGGATGCATTTCGACTTTCGACTTTGTCAACTTTTAACAAAATTAACACGGAAGATTTTCAAAACAGAAAATTAATACACAACGGAGGATATTCAAACACGATATAAGAAAAATAATAACTTATAAAACGAAGACGAAGACTACGAGCGCAAAAAAAAAAGATGATGACACGTTGAGAGTATCAATATTTGTGTAGGTGGACGTACGATGACGAGGCTCGATCGCGAACTAACTTTGCCGCTCGAATTTCCGCTGCGGTCGTTGCTGCGGGTACCACCGACGTCAGCAGTTGAAACGCTAGACGATTGCAGAGAAACACGCAGTTCTTACGAGATCAAGGGACGCACCTCCTAATACGCGGTAAATGAGTTCCCTTCCTACTTAAAAATTTGTTAATTAATTTTGATTATAGAAATGAAATTTCGAAAGGAACAATAGATCCATACCTATGTACGTTGCGTTATAATGCATTGAACGCGCATAGGTTACGCGTTTACACGTAACGCATCGGTCAGGGCTTGGCATGGATCGATAGTAGACTCTCTACTCGACGAATTTCAAATAAGGGTTGTTTCCTCTCTTTTCTTTCTTTTAAAAGTGCATCTACCGAAAATGCGGGGATTTACGAACCGCGTAGATCGTGCCTTAAAAATGGAGAAAAAAAAACACTAAGAGAGAGGGAAGAAGAGCGAGTTCTTAGAACGTCGTCGTATGCTCCTCTCTCTCTCTCTCTCTCTCTCTCTTTCTCTCTCTTTCTCTCTCTCTCTCTCTGTCTCTCTCTCTCTATCTATCTCTCTCTCTCCCTCTCCCTTGACGTTAAAATTAAAATCCGGTCGTCGGAGAACGTCTTGCATCGAAAGGGAGCAAAATTTCATGCGAAAGAACGGCCGAAAAGCTGGACAGATTATAACACGTACACGATTCTTCGCGAGGCCGGCTGCCTTCAAGGTCAAACCCTTGTACCTCCCCTTTTACCGATAGCAAGTATTCCTTCTTTTCAGTTCCCTAAGAAAGAACTTGAACGTTTTAGAATACGCGTCTTTGTCTTGGAAAAAATTACGTGCGAAGCCTTTTCAGCGGACGTACGTCATTAAATTTTTCAACGAGCCTACATTTTTATATTTCAATAACGATTATTAACGATTAATACCGGAATGAATATTAAAAGGAAAAATTAAACTTTTAACGACAAATATGCTTTGTAGATGATGTAGTTTGTTTGTGAGCATTTTAGAACCTTATAGAACCTAAAGGATCGATGCGAGAAGCATGGTCTATAGGAAACACTAACTTACTCTGAATTTAGAACTGGCAGACTATACGCAAAAGGAGAAGTTGGAGGAGTTTTGATTCGACGGGAAAAAGTCCGAAGGAAGCGTAAGTTGCGCGCGCGCACGTTATGCCAAGTAGGCATATACCGTGCGAGCTGGACTGACCTGCCCCACGAGAAGCATCGACGAGCATCGATGTAAATCGCGGTTGGTATTTTCAAACCGAGTGGAAACTCATCGATGAATATGGAGGGAGAGGAAAAGAGAGAGAGAGAGAGAGAGAGAGAGAGAGAGAGAGAGAGAGAGAGAGAGAGAGAGAGAGAGAGAGAGAGAAAAGAAAGAGAGAAAAAAGATTTTCAAATTTTGAATGTTGTTTCGTACATTAGACAGCAGTAATGGCAAATAATAGATTTTCGATTTAATTAGCGTACTAACTAGTGTACTAATTATTGTACTTGGTATATATTACTAATTGTTGCTATTATATTGCTACTTTGGTTCAAATCTTTTTTTGTACGAGTAAAGACAAGCGGCTAATGTGAACGTTAAATAATAGTGCTGACTGATCGCGAGCGATCGACGAGAAATTTCAATTTTGTTATCTCTAATCACAGAGATTATATCGTATATGTATACGAAACGCGAAAGCGATAAAAAGGAGGTAACGATGTGGATGGACTCGTTACGACGACAGTTCGAAGATTAGCGATACGTCTACAGAGACTTGCACTATTATATAAATCGAATCAAACCCCTCGCATCTTATTGAAGAATATTTTCATAAAGTGATTCTATGTCTCGAAAAATATATTCTAATCTTACACCGAATAAACAAAATTGAATAACTAAAACTATCATCTCTGTAAAGGTTTAAACGAATGCTTCAGTTTCGATAAAAACTTATTAAGATTAAAATTATTAAAGGCAGAATATAGAATTTGGATCGTTGAGAAAAAAGAAACACGTTTTCGTCGAAGCAACGCGATCATGGTTTCGAAGCGAAACTAGATATATCGTTCGGTTAGGTTATATAATAATAATAATAATGGCCGAGACTAGGCGTATACGGGCAAAATTCGTGGCCTTCGGAGAACAAAGGGTTCGAGGGAGCCTTATAGAATCTGTCTACGGCTAGGGCGTTTAGGTTCTTTTTACGGTGCGCCGCACGGTTAGGGCAGGACAGTGCGGAACGTGAACGAAGAGTGGAGAGGAGAAGAGAGGAGAGGAGAGGAGAGGAGAGGAGAAACGGAGCGGAGCGAAGCGTTCAAGACACAAAATGAAATTCCACACGCTTCGCTTCTGCCGAAATGCGAACGCTCCCTTCGGAGACAAGATACTCTATACGTTTCGACCTTGTCTCGAAAGCACGTTTACCGATATTTCGAATACATCTTTCTATGCTTGGAACTCGTTTGTATGGGGAAAATTTATCACTACTTCTAGACTGTTTTAACAAATTGACATTTTTGTCTTTTAGGATTTTACCAACTTCTTCCTTCCTTCCTTCTTTTCTTTCTTTCTTTCTTTTTAACGTTCGAAAAGTCCGAATCATAAATACGTTCAAGTACCTATATTATTATGAAAGCAAAGTTTATCGATTTCCCGGTGTAAAAATCGTCGAGGCCAAGACACGTCGAGCAAAGAACGCGTGCCGTACTCGAATTCCTCCGCACACACGACTCCCGTGTGCGTTTCGACACCGCACGGCGACGCAATCGCTTCGTGCGAAGCGTGAAATTGTACAGTGAATGTCGTTAGGAACAACCATGAAATACTTCGAGCGAACATAATGGAAATAAACGAGTCCCCGGCGAGTCGATAAGTAAGTACCGGCATTTCATCCGTCCATTTCCATCCGATAGTTATATTTTTTATACGAAGAAGAAATTTCCAAATAAATTAGACCCCGAGATTTTATTATTGTTCTCGTACCAGACTTGAAATTTTTCACGTCTACATTCCCAGCCATTGTTTCGTTAAAGAGATGAATCATAAATCCAAGTATAGTCAGTCTTCTTTCGAGGATAGCGTCTTACATCAGAACTTCTACTCTCTAAATTATTACAGAAACAAGGTAAACGAACACAATAACTTCTCATCTAGATACTTCTTAAACGTGAATTAATAATAACTTCAAAGAGATTATTAGAGATTATCAAATTTGTAAAGGTGGTTATTGAATGTAAAAATGAAAAGAAAATGGTGGTGAATATGTAAGAGAAAAGAGAAAAGTATTCTACTCTACTAGTCTACGTCGGTCGCGTTATTGGGTGATGGAGGCAGGCGTGGTACATTCGACGACCTTGACCCCTGTTCTCGACTGGCGCTCGTTCTTCGTAGACCGGTCGATATGTGCCGCTCTCCATCCCTCCGCGATATAACGTTCCCTCTTTACCTCTCATCGGAGAGGGGAAGAGAAAGAGAGAGAGCGAGAGAGAGAGAGAGAGAAAGAGAGAGAGAGAGATCGTTTCTCTCGACAAGCGGCGTCGGCGTCGTCGCCATCGTCGCGTCGCTACTGCCATCCTCCCTCGGTTTCCTCCTCCTCTTCATCCTTCACCCTCTCTACTCCTACTCTTCCTACTTCTTATTATTGTAGTCGTGCCTTCTAGTCCGTAGTCCGGTGCAATGTGTTCGTGAACGCGTTGTATCGATTTCGCGGATGCCGCCACAGTCGACGCAGAGTATATTCACGTTTAACCGAGTACAATTTTCAACAGAATTTGAATCTGCTTTTGATACGGCTTTTCTTTTAAGGCCAAATTAGGATTTTACATTACGAGGGATCATAAATGATACTTTTATCTTATGGAATAATACCTATGAACTGTAAGTTCTATCGTAAAGTTCTTCCTAATCGAAGGTACGCATTCTGGAATAGATATATTTTCTTTTACGCGATTATTTCATTCAATTTTATTCCTGTTCCACTAAAATCTATGATAGGTACATTGATGATCAAAAATATATCGGACACGTGTGAAATAAAATTTGATTTTTCCCTTCACTGAAGATCTTGGATCGTCGTTAAAGTAACAAACTCGGACGCGATCGGCTCAGTATCTCGTGACCGGAATACGATACTTACGATAGCGTCGAAGCCGTCGACCGTTATGTTTCTTAGTTAAAGAAAAAGGAGGAGTGGCAGCGAAAACGACGCGCTTATTCGCTAATGCCAGCGATGACAATATCGAAAGAGAATCAAATGTCAGCGTTTTCCACGCAACAACAAACGATAAATTAATGACAAATTTTTACAAGAATCTTACTCCCTACTAACGATAATACCATTCCTCCCCCTTCTCTCTCTCTCTCTCTCTTTCTCTCTCTCTCTCTCTCTCTCTCTGTCTCTGTCTCTCTCTCTGTCTCTCTCTCTAACACCCTAGAAACGAAAGGGTCACGTGCTTGCTTTGGGCCAGTGCCACGAAAGACACACAAAAATATCATACTCGCGTCACGAAGTCGCGGAGAATCAAGAGAAATTCGCATTAACTTAAAGAACACGCTTGTTCCAAACGCCTTGTGAATTCTGCTTGAATTTTTAGCAAAAACAATATTCTCTCTGTGCCGAGTTTCTCTCACAAGTAGCGACAACACGCGGTGTGCCGTAACAGCAGCATGCCGTTAAGCTTGTGTAACGTAGTTTACTTCCATGGTCATCCCCTCGACGTCGCCTAACTTTCTAGACAAAACTGCCTACTCCCTCTCCCCCCCTCTCCCTCTTTCTCGAGCAGCAGCAGCAGCAGCAGCAGCGGCAACAACAGCAGCAGCAGCATGCGCACACTCGGTCAACGATTTTGATCCTTTTGCTCGGCCGTGGCTTCACTTCTTGCGTTGCTTTACCAAGAAAACGTAATTTTAGCCCCCACCGAGTGGCAGGTAGGAAGGTAGATAGGTAGCTGCTAGGTGGGAGAGGAGAAGAAGCGGGTGCATGCCTAAATTGCCGAGGAAACGAGGTCTCTCTACTTCTTTTTCTCCGAGGGCTCTCCCTCACCCTCGCCTGTCTCCCTCCCTCCCTCCCTCCCTCCCTCCCTCTCTCTCTCTCTCTCTCTCTCTCTCTCTCTCTCTCTTTTTTTTTTATTGGATCTTTCTGAGATTGGCCGATACATAACGATCGAAAAATAAGAAATGTACTAAACGAGTTTTTAGCGATACTTTTAAGACGTTACGCTCAAGTTTTACTTCCTCGTCAAGCTTACTTTGCCTTTGAAGGGGAGAGATAGAGAAGGGGGTGGAAAAGGTTGTTAACCTCGGATTCCGTTCGAGTAAATTAATAAGAAATGACGTCAAGGTAATGAACAATCATTTTTTTAACAAAAAGAAATACTCTTAACATCAACGGTACTAAGACGGAATTTATGAACGTTCACGGCCCTGTTATCATACGGGACCGATCGATATGTATACGGGCGGGAATCGAGAAAGCAGTTAACTCCCGAACAAGCAAACGTACGACTAATCGATATTTCCTGCAGTCGAAATTATTCAAATGCCATTCAGAGACAAAAGATTAGACAGCGTTCAATGCTCTGTCTCCCCACTTTTTTTCAATTTCACATAGTCGAATCAGCATTTTCAAGATAAAGCCGATCAAAGCTTGGACGTCGAAAATGAGATAGAACATTTTCGAGAAGAATTAAGAAGACGATGCATTCGACCAACACATCCGAGGAGGGGAACTAGAACTAGGAAAGGCCGGCCGGAAGGGCCTGATCCGAAACAGACGGAGAGTATACGCTTGTGTGGTTAATGAAAGTGTGTGTGTTTGAGAGAGAGAGAGAGAGGAGAGGAGAGGAGAAGAAAGGAGGAGGAGGCCACATAAGAACAAGCGCGTGTGCCTCGTGGCCTGGAGTTGGGATAGTCGCCACCGCCACCGCCACCGCCACCGCCACCGCCACCGCCTGCCGCTTTGCCGACTGCTTGCCTGCTGTTGACCTTGAGAAGATTCCTCTCTATGAAGGAACTACACGATATAGGATCTAACGGTGGTCGTTTGTTCCCTCTAGTTCTTCGACTATCGGCCAAGTAAGCTAATGACGAAAAATATGCCGATAATTCGCTATGATTGCCTACCTCTGAAATCAGACCCTTCATCAACGAAGCCTCGAGGACGTCGAAATTATGCGAAATTGGCCGAGTCAAAGAAATCCGCCGATTTATTCGACCGGCAAAACAAATAAACTAATAAAATGCGAAATACTACTTCCTACAATAGAAAAAAAATTACATTAAACGTATCTTATAGTTTCCCTCTTTGAACTTTACGAACTTTATCGACTACGTTTCCTTTTCGATTGTTTCTACGAGAAATACGAATAGATAAATTAAAAAAGAAAATATCCATAGGTAAACGCTTAATAGTTTCTGTAGAAGGAAAAATTATACTGAGAATAGGTATATCTTACGTTTTCCCTCTTGAAACGTTCAAATTTTCTTTACGATCAACGACACAAGGAGGTCACGCAACTTGTCAGCCAATCAATGTCAGCGCCGAGGCAAACATCCACGGAACGATTAAAGATATCTTGACACTGTATAGTAATCGTTGTTAAGCGCGTTGAATACTAAAAATAACGTATTTACGACGGACGTTGATATCGTACCTCTCCTCCCTCTTCCTCTGCCCCATCCCCAATCCAAAGAAGCGCAGTATTACTCGTCATCGAATAAAATTTCTTCAGCTAATAATGCTCCTCCTTGTAAAGAAAGAAAGAGAGAGAGAGAGAGAGAGAGAGAGAGAGAGAAAAAAAAGAGAGATAGAAATGCTATGAGCATGGCCCGTGCCTTTCTTCTCGATGACGAATCAACGAATTTCGCGTTTCCACGTTTAATGTAGGGGAGGAGAAGCAAGAGAGAGAAGAGAATAAAGTAACGTAGAAGGAGTGGAAGTCGTTTTGATTCGCGCACGCAAATTCGATGCAACGACGTACGATCCGAATCGTAACTCGTTATATAACATCACGGCGTGAACGATAAAGGCTAAAGAAGATGTTTTGGCCGTCTCGATTTCACGCTGCTTCCAATTTTCAAATTCACTCTCTACATATCTCGGCGGAAAGAAGAATCATCAAATCGAGATGATCGATGCTTTTCGGGCCTAACGTCGAACTAGCATCCGAAATAGCAACAATGATTTAAGAATATGAGGAAAAAAGGAAAAAGAAAAATGGACAAAACTTACCCTGCATTTTCAGCCGTAGCAATGGACATGTGCCTCCTCTCATGGAGAATAGGCGCGGCGTCGCATTGCCGGGGAAGATCCGTGCGAAATGTCTGAAAATCCAAAGACACCTCTGCCAAACAAGTCACGTTAAGAGAAAGATGCACGAGTTCACCGAACTCACAAGGAACGATGATTTTTCTCTATGTATATTCACCGAATAAGAAAAAAAAGAAAAAAGGAAGAGGAGGAAGAAGAAAAAGAAGAAAGAAAGCAAAACGAAACGGAACGGAACAGAACGAAACGAAACGAAACGAAAATAATAATAGCCGAAGAAAATAATAGCGAGCACAAGTTTTCACCAAACTACTTTCTTCCGAAGCACTTCCGAAATTGGAGTTTTTCTCTCTCTTCGTTCACGATTCGTCGTAAAACGAGGCCTATCGCTTTCTCGTTGGCCTCTTGTTTATCGAAGTTCACCAGTATCCTTCTTCTTCTCCTTCTTTTTCTCTTCGTCTTCTTCGTCTCGATGAGAAATGAAGATGATACGAGAGCAGTAGTAGTAGTCGGTACGACTTTCACGGGAATCGTGATATCTAACGTTTTTAAACGACGAAACGACGTCCACGACGTCAACGACGTCAACGACGTCAACGACGTCAACGACGAGGACGAGGACGGCAAAGCCGGAGACGACCTCCTCCCCGTCTTCCTCCTTCTCCTCAATTTCTTTTTCTCTACACGAGCAAGATAGCCCGATCGAATTCCTCTTCTTCTTCTTCGCCACTCCCGTAACATTCAGTTTGAACATAATTTTCAATCGTCGAACTCCTCGACGACGACGCGACCGTCCTCCACCCTCCTCCACCTCCACCTCCACCTTTATCACTTTTTCCCTTATACTCCTCACAGTTATAATTCTCTCGTGTTGATTGTACGAAACCTTAACGATTCGTCGATCGGTTCTAAAATATAAGAGAAAACATTTATTAGTCGAAATTTATTTGATATTTTTTTAAGCATAATAAAAACCATATCTTTCTTTTCTATTCTAAATGTACTGGGTTGGCCAATACGCATTCAAATTTTCAATAACTTTTAGATAAATAAAGAGATGTAACACGAATGAATCGTGGAATGCAACGAATCACATGCAGTGAATTCCAGCGATGCAATCAAATATCACGTATGTGTGAGAAAAGTAGAAAATATATGATACTTTTACAATGACTCAAAGAAAGAGAAGAAAAGAAAAACGCTATATAATATAGCTTTTATAAATTATATACTCCGCGCATTTTTTTCCATCTTTTTATCTTATTTTTAATCATCTTTTCGCCATAAACCATTCTCGTTATTGTACTCGTTATTATATATATATATATATATATATATAATCAAAAAATTTCTTCGTGACAATTTACAAATCATAAATATTATATCTTTTCTCAATACACTCGTATAATAATTTTATTGCTATTTTCGCATAAAAAGGAAACGAACAAAGTAAATAAATATCAGTAGGTATAAATCGGAAATGATTCTAAATATTATCCAATATTATTCGCTCTCTTCGTCGTATAAATATTATTAATAGTGATAATCAATATCGATATATCCCCGTAAGTGTATGTGTAAAGGTGAGGGGGGGGAGGGGCGAGCACTATCTTGAAAAAAAAAAGAAAAATTTCCTAGAAAACTGCATCTTATATAAAAAAAAAAATCCTTTGACGTAGTCTTTCTCGTGACACTGAAAAACCTTACTTCCTCATTTTCTATTTTAATTAATTACTCAACGAAGAGATTATAGATAAATCTAGTCCCATGATACTGATATTGCATGTATATGCAAATACTATACTACATTGCTACTTAAAAATTACAAAACATATTTTGTTTGAAATATTAAATTTAAAATGTTGACAAATTTTTAATTAATCTTTGATTCGTATCCAAAGTTTTATAGTTTTACGCATTACTCCATTATATCCACGTGGTATGAGTAGGTTATTTCAAAGAAACAAGCATCTCTTTACCAAAGAAACGTAGTTACGATAAGAAATTATTATCTGTCAGATAGCGCATTGTTAATCCGAATGCCCTCGTTTATCGACCTCGAGTCATCTAAAATCGATATATATATATATATATATATATATATATGTATATATGTATATATATACATACACGTATACACACAAACATCATACATATTTGTGTGCGTGTATTGCAAAGCGATGCGTTTGTTTAAAAATGATCAAAAAATTGCCTTTTAAGCATAGAATTTAGATACGTGAAGAATGATGCCTATCCACGAAATAGACGTTATCGTTCTGAACTCGTTACGACTCGAGGGATTTCGGAAAGTAGGCCATTTATTGCTCTATCGCAACAACGATGACCCGAATTCGAATCTTTACATGACTGAAGCTGGCAACATTTCGTCTTGATTATTTATTCAAGCATTCGAAATATTCCTCTATAACATCATGTAACTTTAACACTACAATTCTACACCATCCCTTTCACAAATATTATCGATATTATAATTATTATAGTAACTGAAGTTAATCGAATTAACTCAGTTGTCTTTCTTTGCTTATTATTGTAAAATCAAATTGATTAAAAATAACAATCAATAGTCTTTCTTTTTTCTTCAGGAACCTCTCAAATTGGCAGATTTGGTGTTGTGTGTGTGTGTTTGTGTGTGTAAGCGTACATATTACTCTCTTATAAGATATTTTTATATTTTTATATAAAACTATAGAATATACTTATTGGCCAATCCAATACTATACTATTATACAGAAACAAAATACTATATTAAATGCTGACGATACCGACATCATTAATAAAGTTTCACATTAAATAATTTTTGATTTAGACGCGCAAAGAGAGAAATTGATTAAAAAGGGTAAACAATGTAAAATAATTATGTAAGATCTTTGACAACAAAGAGAATACAAGGTAATTGTAACGATGATGAATCGTTATCTACAGATAAAAGAGAATCTCTTGAAAAGAAACGTCTCGAGTGACACGAGTGTAGTCAACGTTCTCTTGTAATAATCGCACGCACAGCGATCCATCGAAATTCGAGTCGCTTTTCGAAGTCTCGCGAACGAGCGAGAGAACAAACGAACGAAGAAATGAACGAACGAACGAACGTCTCGTGACGCGCCTCTTCGTTTGCAAACTTATATATGTATCTCGTAACGTTAACGCGCGGGGCATGCGCATTGGGCCGTGCGAAGGTGGCTATGTTCTTCGATTCTACGAAGCTCGTCTCGCCGAAGGGGCGAGGAGTGGGGTGAGGTGAGGTGGGGTGGGCTAGGAGGAGAGGGCCCGCAGAAAAAGAGAGGAGAGAGAATCGTCGCGCGCATACTTTTTCTCGAAGATTTTGGATCTCTTTCTTGTCATTTAAATCGAATAATATTCTCGTGTATTCTTTATTAAAACGTCACATAATCGCAACAGTTTCTTTTTTGAAATGTTCTCACCTATACTTGTTTGGTTTATTTAAATCTAATATTACTCAGGTTTGAAATTACAACATCACATAACCTCAAAGGTTTCTCATTCGGAGCATACTCATGTGTATCCGCATTTGGGATTTAAATCGAATGTATTACGATTTCTCAGTTACAATGTCACCTAACCTCGTTTCTCCTTTGAAATATTTTCATGCCTATGGTATAAAGTCAATTCAAAGATACAAACAAAATGAATTATTATTATATATTCGAATTATTATAATTATTATTAAAATGATTATTATTCTTTTTTTTTTCTTTACCTTCTTTTAAAAACTTGCTTGATATCTTTCTAGCTACCCTGGAAACTTAACCAAGTTGACAACTTGTAAAAAGAAAAAGAGAGGTTATGCGTAGGATTTGTCGTTAGAAATCCAAATCATGATAAATTATTAGGAAAGAGATTGAAAGAATAAGGATTGATACACTTTAACGACGTATCGAATAACATATGACATTACGATAATATCGAGGAGAACAAAAATTGCTTCTCACCGACGTAGGTGCCCGTCGATATCGGGAAAAGGGATCGTTCTTCCATGTCAGGAGGAGACGACACCTCCCCGAGAGTTTTTCTCACATATACACACGCGCGCGCGCGCACGCACTCTCTCTCTCTCTCTCTCTCTCTCTCTCTCTCTCTCTCTCTCTCTCTCTCTCTCTCTCTCACTGTCTACTTGGTCGGAAAACGTCTCTACGTATACAAGCCACTAATACGAGCGGACCTTACCGACGAGAAAAAGGAAAACACGCGCGACAACACAGGACGCAAGAGCAACCAAAAAAGAAAGAAAAGAGATGACGTTGATAATCTTTCTCGCTCGTTTACGACTCAAAGACAACACTCGTCGTCCGATGGAAAGGCCATTTTCCTGTTATATCGTAACGGACGCACGCGTAAATATCGGCCTCTATCGACTACGGACGACAACGACGACAATGTCGTACACTCTCCTCTTCTTCGATTATCGCACACACGCGAAATAACGCACACTTCGGACAATTTATACGCGAAAACGAACAAATTCTTCTATCTTTCGTTTCCTCTTACCGAAAGAACAATGTTTCTTCTAAAATCTCCAATCGTCGAGTCTTTTCGGCACGTTCTTAAATACGTCTCTCGTTAGTTTCTTCGTTTTTGAGGCTCTTCTACGTCCGCCTTTAACGCCAAGAACGACAGAACGAATCGTATAGGTTGCAACAGTTTTCTGTAGAAAAGCACAGCGGGGCGCCACGAGACGCGACCGCGGCTCTCCTTTTCGCGCTCTCCCCTCCACTCTCGATACCAGCACGGTAAAGACTTCCCCCACTCAAAACACTCTTAGTCATTCTATCTCTCTTTCTCCTGTTCTCGAGCACACCACACGCGAGCACGTACACACACCGTATGCGCACTGTGTGTCGAACTGCTGCGCTACTGCCGCTGTTCCGTGTCGTTCTTACTCAACGATTAATTTTAAAGAACTTGTCTCTTCTATCTCGTGGAAGCTCGAAATATAGACATCCTAAATAGAGAGGCGTCGCCCAACCGCTTTCAGCCTCAACGAAGAAAAGAGAAGTTCTAGCGAACGAACCTTCGCCTTTCTCTCGTCGTCTCGAGCCCGCCCATGTCTGTCTGTCTGTCTGTCTGTCTGTTTGTCTGTATCTCTCTCTCTCTCTCTTTTTCTCTCTCGATGGATGAGAAAAAGATATGCGTCTTTGATCTCTCCTTCTCTCCTTCGTTTTCTTCCCGTCGATAGCCTTCGTCGTATCTCCTTTCTTATCGTTCTCGTCTTCCTTCTCACCCCTCCACGCCCTTCGTTTTCTTTCGTCTATCACTCGCTGCTACCGTACAATTTTCCCTGCCTCTCTCTCTTTTTATCTCCGTGCGCAGCACGATCCCATACGCGCTCTCTACGATCGCTGCGCGGCACGGCACAGCGCGGCGCGGCGTGTTGAGTATGTGTCGGCAATGTATAGGTGTGCGCGAGTGCGCAAACTCTAGTGCTGTGTGTGCACTTGATTAGCCGTGTCTGACGTCACGGAACGGTTACATTGCTCGCGATTGTCACACACACTCGACTGAGAGGCACCACCGTCGTACGAGCGAGCATAGATTTTCGTTCACAAAACCGTTATATCTCTTCGAGGCGAAAACTTGGAATGATAGGGTACGCGCGCCCCCCGCGCACCTCCAATGCGATCTATTATACACAAGGAAATTATCGCTTTCCGCGTAGAAAACGAATTGCCTTCGCGAAAAACGCGGCCGGGCTCGCACGCGCAAACCACTCGCGGTATTCGTGAAACAACTGAGTACACGCAACACACTATTCTCCTGCCTATACGAAAGGTATACCATCAGGTGGCGACACTATGCGATCTCCACACGATCCTCGACGAATACGATTCGACCCACGAAAATGCACGATTTTTAACGAGAACGAACGATTCTTCCTCCTTGGTCATTACCAAGTGCATAAATTTCGTGTATCGAGACATTTAATTCGAATTAGGAAGAAAGGATACATTTCTACGTATAACATCCTAATAAATTATTTTATATAATTAGAGCAGTTTTATTTTATAAACCTCATATCTTTCTATATTCTCCCTATATTCTCTCTATAATCTTCTCGAACGATTTTAAATGCTTTTGCTCGAAAGTAACTTTGCAGTTGATTTTCATTGGTCCGATAATTTCTCGCTTAACCAATCAAAATTCGTTGGTGTATCGACCCTCCTAGAGACCTCTGACGACCTTAAATATTGTTATTTTTTTTCTTTCTAACCCCTGTTAAATAATATAGTTCGAATTAGCTGTCTTAATACGATTTAACGTATATATGATTAAATTCTATACAATCTATAAAAATATATCTTCCAGTTTTTAGCTCACTGATATCTAATACGTCACAAAGTCGCTTGTCCAAATGTTTATTATTTTTATATTCAAAATTGGCGCTCTTGGAAAGTAAACTCTTGTTCGTGCATCTATTACTTTTAGCAAGACGCATATACCATATACACATAGAAAAAGAATACTTTTCTTATATATAAACGCGTAGGAGAAAATTAAAGGTACCAGCGTGAAGTACGATCCTCAAGTACATCTAATGGAATTATTCTTAATACCCAATATTCCAGATTATATCCAATATAAGAATATGAAGCTCTGATTAAAAAATTTATTAAGAAATTACGCTCTTACGCTGTTTGTGAAAAGTGAAAGTTTCGCAAGTGAGAAACGTTTCGTGTTTTCAGTTTATTACGAAACACTTTTAAATATAGCGTATGTAAGCAAATTAATTAATGATTAAGATTTTAAACGAGCGGAAGTAAATATTGATTCTACTAATAAATTACATCCGCTACTTGGAAAATATTCGTTTAGAATTAGTATTTATTATTTAGTGAATTTTCTTACAAGAGACGGTACTTTAAATTTTCTATTACATGACGTATGTCGAAGCTCCAAATTTTTACTATTCTATGTTTCAGCGAACTAAAGTATCTAAACATTCGTTAAAGTATTATGTGGAAAAGTTAATGTATAGAAATAATTAAACGTGTCTCTAGCATTCGCTGTAATCATCACAGATGCCATACATTCTAGTGCGTGGTAATTTAGCTTCGTACGGTCACAGATATCCGTGGAGAGTTCTAGTATCAGGACTCAAAGGTAATGCTTTATACTCCAATTGTTTTTCGAATGGCAGAAGAAACCAATTCGATAGATTATTTTTTCTAGCATCGGACATAGAACAACTTACTCGCTTTGCTTCTGGAGGATATTGCGACGATTTTACGATAGTCTATTTACAACATCCTTGTGTAATATTAACTGCTCTGGAGGTTCTTGGATATAAGGTTGTCGCTTCTTCTAGTACTAGCATCAAACAAGATTACAATGAATATATGTGGACTATGAGAAAAGATTTCTCAGAACCTGAACCTGAACTTGTCATAAAAACACGTAAGTTTTATCAATAGATTCATTTCTATGAATTTTTATTAATCGACTTTATAAGTTATAAAGTCGATAACTTTGGCAAAATAACAAATGTATTATATGTATGTGTCAATCAAATAACATGTATTGTCGAAAAATTGAAAAAGAGGTTAGAAACAATTATTATAGATTCTCTTAAATATTAGAAACTTAGTGACACATTAAAAGACAATGTTACGTACGTATGAGATAATATTTGACGTTCGGAGCTTGCAAGTAAAACTACTCGTTGTAATAACAGTAAAAATAATATTCATTTGTATATACAAACGCATAAACCTTTTCTAATCGGGCTGACATTGTTGTTCGTCCAGACCGGTACGAAAAATAAAAATCTAATGGTTTGCTGAATCATCAATACTTTTCAAACGACACTCCCTATTGATGTTTCTACAAAATTTGATAAAAATTTCAATCTTGATTTAATTAAAGTGTCTCTTTTCAAGTGGCTGCTCATCAAAAGTACAATCAATGACAAAACATCGGTTGTAAATTTAAAACGATCGAGCGAATGATTACTTACCATTTTCTATCTTATCTGGACTAATAAAGATAAAGTAAAAAGTCTCCTTTTATATACTTTCTTGACGATAAAATGATACATCTGTCATTTTTCATTGGTTTTATAATTGATATAAAAAGTATTACGTGTCACGTAACAACGTGATACAAATGAAAGTAAAATAATTAATTTATCCGTAACTTTGATCGAAAGAGCAATCGTATTTTTTAAGATTGTCGATAATTAAAAATTTCTTTTGTGCATTTTTTTCGTTCGATATGAACTTACTTCATTCCGTACTTAAACAGTACACGGTCTACAATACGTGTGTGTGTGTGTGTGTGTTGTGTATAGAGTATTGAACAAAATTTGATTCGTGAGTGCGATGCGTCATTTGTCGGATGAATTCATTGATTGAGAAAAGTGCAATTAATGTGAAAATGGATAGAAGTGGAAACGAAAAACAACAGGTATGATCACGCACCATCCTTCATCTTCTTCACATTATTTCAATTTGAAATTGTAGACTCTGCGATCGATAAGACGAATTACGTACATATGTTTATGCGCTAAACGCTATTTACATACGTAGAGGGAAAAAGTGTAAACTTGTTTGTTTTAACTTCATACAATTCATATAATTCTATGTCATTTATCGTTTATTTGCAATATCAACAAAATTTAGAAAGAATATATTTTGTTTATCTTTCATAACAAGTAGAATGACTCGTAGTTGAATATTACCAAGTCAAAGAACGATAAGAATCTTCGATTATAAAACTCTTATTAAAAAGTTATCGTTTTTATAATCATTGATGTTTCGAGTTTATTAATGAAGAAATATTGTCGATCGATTTCGTTATATCGAAAATTTAAATGTTTTACGCTAACGGTTAATAATAAAGTTTAATCGAATCGAAATGGTGAAAAAATGTGGTATTGTGTGGAACTATTACAACAAAAAAGTGGATGGCTCTCAAGTCATCGCTTTTTGTAAATTTTGTGATCATTCATATATACAAAACGCAGCGCGTATGGAAAGACATTTGGAACGTTGTCTAAAGTGTCCAGTAGAGGTTAGACGACAATTTATACAATTAAGAAACGATAAGAGAAACAAAACAAATATTCTTGATATTAAAATTAATGACAAGCAACGAAAGCAAGAATCTTCGTTAGAACATGTTACCGACATGGAATTGGAAGATCTAGATGATTGGCATTATAAAAATCGGTATTACATAGATGAAATATCAGAAACGATTCAACAGTGCGATGCAAAAATGGTGATAGATTCTAAGGATAAATCACGGACAAGCCACGATCCTAATGTTCAAAGTATCAAAGGTGATAGAAATGCGACAATAAGAACTAGGGACGCGAATCAGACTGACACAGAGATGGCTAAAATTGGTAATTTCAAAACATTAGATATTATAAAATAAATTATTACGATGCAAATGTTTATTTTTAAATGCTTTCGTAGGTGGATCTGAAGAATCTAAAAGTACCATTCGTCATAAGAAATCTCTACCTACCAGAAGAATTTCACGATGGCCATTCCTTTCTATTCGTGGTGCCGGATATTCGCCCCTACAAAGCAAAATATATCAAGAACAATTGTTGGAAAGTCAGGCGTTAAGAAAAATAGCCGAGCTGGAGTTACGCCGTAAAACTTTGGAATTGGAAAAATTTCAATGGGAATTTGAAAGAGACAAAGCTCAAAGTGAAATACGTTGGGCTTATGAAATGCGAATGATGCAACTACAAGAGGAGCATGAAAAGAAAATGTTTGACCAAAACAAAAATTGAGGATAAATACTCTTATCCATTAATAAGATAATGCGACTTGTTTTATCTTTCTCGATTATAAAATATTCTTACGAATTGCGAACATGCATTCCCTGGTTATTTATAGAACTCTTCAATTATGACAGTCGACTGCTTTGGATATTCTATAATATTAAAGATAAAAAAAATTATATTACAACTAAATGAAATGTTTGTAAAAAAAAAAAAAAAAAAAAAAAAAAAACAAAATAAATAAATAAATAAATAAATAAATAAATAAATAAATAAATAAATAAAAAAAAAAAAGAAAAAAAAATAAAAGAAACACATTGATCTTATTAGATTCATGTTATATCTCGTACAAATGCATATGTATATAATAATTTGATCGTCTCTGCATAAAAACATATAAAGAAAAAAGAAGACATAGAAACATCCACTTTCATTATTTTCTCGTCGCATCTGTCATCTTTAGTCTCGTAAGCATTGTAATTATTTTCTTCTAGAAGGAAAAGATGGCGAAGTCTAACGAAAGTTGTATCGACACCATGGCGGAACCAGTCAGTGTAATGCCTGAAAAATGGGTTAACACCGCAACGAGCGAAACTTTTTATTACGTTGGTGTAAGAGGATCGCCGTATGCAACTGAATCATCTGTTTTTGAATTATCTCCGGACGAACTCTTGGCACTTACTAAACGTTTTCAAAGCTCTGCTTCGACGGTGGTCAATGGCGCTCTAATCAAAGGTTCATCCAAAATTTTTTATATTAAAGAATAAAGTTTATAAACTTATTTCAATTCGTTTTGTTTTAAATTTATGGTTAAACTCAAATGCATCGATTAGCTTGCTTTTTCTGAATGAATAATTAAAAAACATTATAACAAACTTATTGTTGACAATTTCTTTTAGGACGACCCTTTTCGGTTATTAATGCTCTAGCCGAATTAGGCTATCGAGTTATTTGTAGTACCGGAGAAGCTGAAATTCTTTGGACGCTGCAACGGGAGGTTTAATTTTTCTAAAGTATTGTATTTGTAGTAAAGAATATGCACATATATAAAGATATACACCAGTAGTTTGTGCGTAATATATAATATTAATCTGCGCAATCATCAAAGAGGATCCTAGAACAATTATCTATTCTTTATTTTATGGACTAATGGATGATCGTTCGCTTTTTATTTTTTACGTTTGCCGATTATTAGTCTCTAACAATTTATCATTATAAGCGTTAAATAATAAATGCGTACGGACCAAATATAACGAATCGTTATTTGTAAAAAATACATTCGATTAGTAACTATTTTTTAGTAACTACTTTAGTAATTATTTTATTGGATTATACAAGGATAGATACTTTTTATACATTTTCTTATGAAAAGAAAGAAAAAAAAAACTGCAGAGTTTAGCATATTTTCATAATTCGCTAAATATACAGAATGGAATTGTTAAACGACTGTACAACGATGCCTATGTATGATATTACAACGTAAAAAGAATATTATGTAGTTTTTTAGGCACGTTAAATTGAACCCAACACATTAACACGTTTTCCAATAAAACTAGCAATCTAGGAAGAGAAACTATCCGAATTTTTCTATACAATTAGCAGCCGAGCATATTTTAGATTTTTTAGATCATATTAAACAAGGCGAACATTCATTCAAAAAAAAATCAAAATGAGTAAATTTTGTGTCCAAATATAATGGATTCTCGATAGTTAAGAAATTAAATAAAATAGTGACGGTTTCTCTCTTCGCTTTATCATTTGAAGAATAAAAAAGTTTTATTGTTAACATTGAAATAATGTTTAGCAAATTTATAAATTTTTTATCAATATATAGAAGAAAATTGAAAGTATTTTAAGTAACATATTTACAATGTTCATCGATGTATCAGTTTTTATCGTTATTATAATAATGATTTCTCCTGTGAAGTGATCATTTGTCGATATTTAAAAAATGTTCCTTCAACCGAAAATGGATATTTCAAAACCTAATTTTGTGATTTATCGTCCTAACAAATGAGCACGAACTACTAAATGATTTATTGTATTATTACACAAACCACGTGGTTTATATTTAAGTTTCCTTTTTTTTCCGTATTAGTATTATTATATTATATTATATTATATTAATTATATTATATTATATTATATTATATTATATTAATTATATTATATTATATTATATTATATTATATTCATATACCATTCATTCTATGGAATTTTGCATTTTAAGATCTATGTATTCTATTCTTTATAGAAGAGATTAAATCGTACGTGTATACATATATAAAAGTATTCGTATTTTTTCACAAACGAGAAAGAGAAAGAAAGAGAGAGAAATAGAGAGAGTTATTTGTTTTATTAGAATGTATATTATTATTATTTATATGCATTCAAGTTAATATCATTATCCTAAATAACTTAGCGCGATTGAAGCGTGTCGATTAAAAAATCTTCTAATGAGTTACAGATTGAAGATAAAATGGCGAAAGAACATGAACATGAAAGAGATGTAAACTCCTGTTGCAGTTTATCCGTCAACTTGAGTGTTAGTCAATCTTTGTCCGAGATTGAATTCGAGCGAGGGATATGGTATGCTGGTGAGTTGTCCAAAAATATTATTTCAATAAATTTCGATTTGATATTTGATATTTTTCGTTTCTTTTTCAGCTCAATACAACGACAAGGACAAAGTAGAAAGATTTTTAAAAAAGGGAATTTCGGCGGATATCGAAGACTCCGCTGGATACACTGCTCTTCATTATGCAGCACGAAATGGATATTATCAGATCTGCGAGATGTTGTTGCAATATGGAGCTAACGTAAACGCTAGAACGCGTTGCGGGCAAGCAACTGCTCTTCATAGAGCAGCTACACAAGGACACGATCGCGTCGTTGAATCTTTATTAAAGTACGGTGCTAATGCAAATTTAAAGGATGCTGATGGATATACCGCTCTGCACAGAGCTCTTATTGGTGCTCGCGTGTCCATTTGTAAAAGTTTGATTCCGCATTCGGATCTGTCTATCGTCGATAATAAAAATCGTACCGTGAAACAATTGGCTGACGAATACTGCAATGACATCGTCTCGCTTTTATTTTCATAATCTTAATAAAAATGCTTTTATCTTATGTCATCAATTATTTTCATGTTAAAAATAATCGATTAATGTAAACAAATCGTCTATTCTTCGATATCTTATTGAACAATAGGATTAGACTTCAATACTGATCTCATCATCAGCTGTCACGTCAGCTGTCACAATGATGAACGTAACATTAAAAAACGAATAAAGTACAATAGACGTCGTTGAAGAAATCTTCTCGGCAAATCTTCAAAATTCTCTTAAATGTCGCTCGTACATTAGCTGTGTTCTCCTCCGCTTCCATTTCTCTCTCCCTCTCTCTCCTTTTCTTTCTCTCTATTTCTCTTTTTTTCTAATGTTATTACAAAACTTAATTTCAAAAACTATCAAAAAAAACTTGAGAGAAATGAAAAGTAAATTAAAAGAATGAATACGACCGGCGAAGTGGTCACTATTTTCATTGGTCAAGCTGGAACTCAAGTGGCAAACGCTTGTTGGGAATTATTTTGTCTTGAACATGGTCTCAGACCTGATGGTTTTGTTCAACATGGATACAGACCCATCGATGAATGTTATTACACATTCTTTGGTCCGACTGTGGTGAGAAATTCATTAGTTTAAGGAATAAAATTAGAATATGATCTATGAAAATTATCCTTAGACAGGAAAATTCACACCCCGTACTGTGATAGTGGATTTAGAACCAAGTGTGGTCGACGAGATTAGAACTGGTGTTTATAGAAATCTCTTTAATCCATTATCATTGATAACTGGCAAGGAAGATGCAGCGAATAATTTTGCAAGAGGATATTACTCGATCGGTGAAGAGATAAAAGATCTCGTTTTAGATCGTATTCGAATCATCTGCGAAGCTTGTTCTCGATTAACCGGCTTCATTGTCTTCAGGTAAAATCCGAATTTTACTTACTATATTTCTGTTAATTTCCTATCATTAACGAGACCAAAGATGATAAATTATTTACTTTTTAGATCCTTTGGCGGTGGCACTGGTAGCGGCTTAACGACTTTGTTGCTGGAAAATCTTAACATAGACTATGGGAAAAAATTAAAATTGGATTTCGCAATTTATCCAGCACCAAATATATCCACAGCTATCGTCGAACCTTATAATTCCATATTGACGACTCATGGGACTCTAGATCACGAGGATTGTTGTTTCGTCGTTGACAACGAAGCTTTGTACGATATTTGTGCGAGGTTCGAATTTTCTATGTAGCAATTGTCTCAATATATGAGATATCTTTTTTATTCATTTATTACATTCGTAGGAATCTGAACGTGGAAAATCCGACTTATACGAATCTCAACCGATTGCAAGCTCAGGTAATATCGAGCATCACAGCGTCGATGAGATTCGAAGGTTCGGTCAATGTCAGCTTAGAGGAGTTGCAGACAAATTTAGTACCTTATCCAAGAATTCATTTCCCCTTGGTAACGTATGCTCCTATAACTACACCTGAAAGAGCAATGAACACGGTGATGTCAGTTCAACGAATTACATACGATTGCTTCGAGCCTGCTAATCAAGTAAACATAACTAGATTAGATTTGGACAAGATAGAACGAAATTATCTTACTCATCTCTATCGCTCGATCTTAGATGGTTAAGTGCGATCCCCGTACGGGTACTTATATGAGTTGCTGTCTACTTTATCGCGGTGACGTAAGTCCGAGTGACGTTAATAGGACCATCGCTAGTTTGAAGGGTAAAAAGTTTATACGATTCGTTAGTTGGAGTCCAGTAGGATTCAAGGTAAAGTCAAGAATGATCGTTGATTCAATTTAGGATAGAATTTAAACTAATCGTCTCTATTATTTTAGGTAGGAATCAATTATCAACCATCCACGACGGTTCCTGGCGGTGATTTGGCTCAATCGAATAGAACTGTAGCAATGTTATGTAACAACACAGCAATTCGACACGCTTGGATTAGAATTGCACGGAAATTTGACTTGATGTATCAGAAAAGGGCTTTTGTTCATCACTATGTCGGTGAAGGTATGGAAGAGAAAGTCTTCCAAGAGGCTATAAACGATACAGCTACCCTCGTCGATGATTACAAAGAAGTCGAATTATGACGTATTGAACGCTTGAAATTTGATAATTTAGATTTTCGAAAGATTCTCTAGAAATTGTAAATTGAAATAAAATTTTGAGATTCATTAACAATTCTTTATAATTGTAAATTTTCTAATTATTCTTCTCAGAATCTCATTAATATTGATAAGTTTTAACAATTTATAATAATTATTTATGAAACCTCCATAAAGAAATCTTAAATATTTTAGTATATTGAACATTCTATAGACTTTCTAGATCTATGTGATATCATAAAAGTTCCTAAAATGGACCTAATTATAAATTATTTTATAATTAATAATCAAGACGTGTTAATATTAATATATATATATATATATATATATATATATATATATATATATTAATATTAACACGTCTTGAACACGATTGAATATATATATTATTAATATATATATATATATATAATATATATATATATATTATTAATATATATATATATATATAATATATATATATATATATATTACTTATTAAAACTATATTATATATATATTACTTATTAAAACTATAATTTATTTCACTCTTTTAATTATTAATTATAGACATTTTCCATCTTCCAGATATTCTATAAACTCTCAAAAATAATATAAGACCGTAAAAATTAATAATAATAGTATTAATAATAGTATTCGGGGTGTGTGTGTGTGAATATGCCTATCCTATAATCGACCGCCATATTGTCGCAAAAATGCTTGATTTGTTGATTTGTAATGAAATTACATTTTTATTAAATATTATATTACAGTATTAATAAACATTACATTATTAAAACAAAATCGATATAATAATTTAGTACCGGTCCTTACGCTAGATGACATCAAAAACATTTAAAATGTCAGAGGTGTCTATTCCTTTACCGCCCTTTTGTCAATTCGGAACAATCTTTTATTTGTATGAAAATTGATGATTTATGTTTATTGTTAAACATGTAATAGATTTTTGTAAGGAAAATGACATTTTTCAAAAATCTAAAAAGATTTTTAAAATCCGTGATACCGGAATAACATGACACTCACCGAAAATTCTGACTTCTAACGTAGTAACTCGCACGCTAAATCTCATCTTTGTTCTTAAGAGCTATGTGATAATTAACGGAATATACTTTTTTTTTTAATATTACCTCATCGTACTACGAGTACATTGTAGATTATTTAAATAATTATAAAATCGTCGGATCACTAAGATGATTAAATGTCAGTTATACGAAAACAAAATGTTTTTTCGGAATACGAAAGGAAAATAATATGATAACTCGCACGATCAATCTATTGTAATGTTCCTTCTTGTGACATTCAATCGACAAAGGCTGAAAAAAAATTATTGTATATATGACACATCTTATAATCTATGTGATGTATCGGAGTATATTATTGTTTAATTATCTCTTGATTGATATGATGTAGAAGTTCGTGAAATGTTGCTTGACTAATTATTTTATAAATAATTACTGTGACATATTAATATAAATTAACACTGATTAAATTTACACAATTTCCAGGAATAAATTATAAATATTTAGACGCTTAAAATGTTCTATAAACTATTAGAAATAATATAAGCCTATAAAAGTTAATAAGGAATTATTAATAATTAAGAAATAAATTATTAAAATTTGTCGTATACATGAATGTATTCTGTGTATATATATAGTACTTAAAATTAGCCATCAATTTCTCGCCAAATATCTTAAATTTCTAATGGGAACGCAGAACGATAGTGGAGGTCGATCGCTAACTTAGATGTTATTGGCTGTGATATTAGATGGAATAAATCTCAGCGCTAAATTTGAATCAGTACAGAGAGACATTATCTGGATTGATAAAGTAAGAATAATAATAAAAATTGTCACATTTAAATGTTCCTAATTTTCTATAAACTCATTGGAATAATATAATATCATAAAAGTTTATAAACGTACCTAATAATTAACTATTTCATAAATAATCTCCGGGACATATTAACCTAGATACATATTACTGATTAAGATATAATTTATTTAATTTACAATAATAAATTACAAATATTTAGATGCTAGAAATGTTCTACGGATTTTCAGGAATTATATAAGCTCATAAAAGTTAATAAAGAAGTCTTAATAATAAAGAAAATATTTATCAAGATTTAACGTATATATCAATGTATTCTGATACTGTGTGTAATTATGACACACATAAGTACCCAACATCCATGCATACAGCTAAAATTAGATATTATATTGCCGCAAAAATTTCAGATTCTTAATAGGAACACAGAACGATAGTGGAGGTCGATCTCTAAATGAAATCTATTGGCTGTCACACTATATGGAGAAAGTCTCAGCGCCAAATTTGAATTAGTATCATGAGAATTAGTATCATTAGTATCACTAGATTAATGAATAAAAAAACTAGTTAGTAATGAAATATTAATTAATTATTATACACTCCTCGATTATTTTATATCATTTTAGATACGATATAGAATATTTTTAGCAATGAAATGTTTTACATATTGTCTATTTCATTTTCTGTATTCGTTCATTTGTCAGATATTCTATATAACCATATCATAATAAAAAACACATAATTAACACATAATTAAAATATTTTATAATTATTTTCTATGGCATTTCATTTATTATTATTATTTTCTGTTTATCCTATGTGAAAGTTTTCCTATGATAATGTCTAAGCATCTGTAGATAAAGCCAGTCTTCAAATCGAAAGATTTTAATTGAGTATAAAATGAATGAGTATAGAATTACTCTTTACTAAAGATATTTCAAAATTTTATAAACTTTAAATCTTGTTCTAAATATTTTTATGTCGCAAGTCTCCTGTATTATTTCAATTATGTAACAGTTAAAAAATGTCCTCATTGCCATATTCTTTGATGTTGCCCATTAAATATACGACATACTTCGTCAGAAATTTTACATCTTTTTATATGTTATTTGCATATATCGTTATAGTAGGTATTGAATACTTATTAATGTTATTATGCATTGGTTTGTTTTAACACGTTGCCACAAATGACGGCTATAGCCGTCCGATTGTCGACCATATGTAGGCAAATGACGGCTATAGCTGTCTTGTACATGACGACTGACGCTCAATTTCATATGGCAGTTATAAACAATTGAAAAAAATGTGTTTCTGAGCATGATCGTTAAATTAAAAGTGTGCGGCAACGTATTAAAGGACACACAGTATATTTGTCATTTTATATAACAGTTTGACAGAAAGTTTTTTATAGAAAAGCAAGTTTGAAGATGTAGAAATTTAAGTCCATATAAAATGATATTACATATTATCATCGAACTTCAAAATTTTATATATAAATTGTATATATTTATATGTGTGTAATGACAATTTATATCATAAAATAAATACTTCTTTATAATTATCGAATATAATGTATTTTTCTACATATTCAATATATATATTTATACTTTAGGATATCTATAATATATATATATTATGTCGTGATATTGTCGCAAAAATGCGCGTTTTGTAATGGGAGCACATAACAATAATGGAGGTCATTATATAAAAAGCGGGAAAATATAATTCAAGTTGCAATACTAGATGGCCCCAGGGTATAAAAGGTTTCTTAAAATAATTATTTAATACTGGTGCCCACGCTAGATAGCGCCAGGAATATTAAAAAGTTTGTTTATTAATTATTTAGTTCAGTTACCAATGCTAAATGATGATAGGGATATAGGAATAAATATTTTCGATTTGTCCATAATTTGAATTTTCTAATAGGATAACATAACTTGCTAAGAGGTGGCCCAATTTCGCGTGCCACCTCTTTGTGCCACATCTTCGTGCATCGTGTAATACTAATGCAATGGTTGATCTGCAGGAAAATTTTTGCTTCGTTTATAATTTGAATTTTCTAATAGGAAAGAATAATTTACCAAAGATCAGAAAATCTGAGCATCAGGTATTTACGTACACACGCAAGAAAATAATCACTACTTTATGGTATACATACCATATTCAACAATATGGAAATCAATAGTAGAGATATGAGTTTTTCTCTTTTGCCGCAAATTTCGAGGACCATCATAGTACAAAATTTTTTCTTCGAAAAAAATGTCAAAAACAGCATTTACCCCAACAATGAAAACAGACATAATTCTTGACCAATTACGATTTACAAAATATCACTTTAAAGATGAAGGTTTATTCTAGGATTCCTTTTTATTTGTGCATAAATTATTTTCAAAAGCATTTTTTTTAAAGAAAATAAAGCTTTTTGAAAAATATATCATAGATTAAACCTTCGTCTTTAAAATAAGACGTTCTTCATCAAAATCAATCTGGAATTATGCTTGTTCCTATTAATGACGAAAATCATAAAAACAGAGATAATAGCTTTTTAAGGCTTTAATGTTCGAAGTCGAGTGTGACTCGACAAGATCGGTTACTATGGTAACCCTATGTCGAGTGTGACTCGACAAGAATGGTCGCTATAGCAACTTTATGTCGAGTGGTACTCGACATAGTTTTCCATTTACTCACGTCGTATTTTATGTTAGCGTCGTATTTTATGTCAGTCCTCGTTATTCTATAGCCGTATTGACCGTATTGCTTCTACTGACTATTCTTAACTTTGATAAAAAAAAAATCATTTAAATAATGTGTGACACTGACAATAGTGATGACGAATACATGGATACTTATAATTTCCTTACTTCTCAGCGTAATAAAAGAACAATTAACGATATATATTCGAGTGACACAGAGGATGAAAATATTGCTAGTAGAACGCAAAGAAAGTGTAGAAGATTTATTTCTGATTCGAGTGATGGGGAAGAGGAATGTAGTAAAATATACTACGATGGACTCTCTGATGTTTGGGTCGAATTAACTTCGAAAGATGAGGAAAATACGACGATTCCATTTTCGATCGGACAAGAAAGAATTGGCCCACAAAACTGTGATAATTGTATAGATCCGTTAGACTATTTTCAATTATATTTCACCAATGAATTAATTGAAAATATTGTTGTAAAAACGAACAATTATGCCCGTTCGAAAATTGCAAAGAGAGTATTGTCCGAAAGGTCAATATGGAATACCTGGAAGGACTTAACTGTATCCGAAATGAAAGCTTTTTTAGGGCTTATATTGAATATGGGAATTGTTCGTTTATCTAATATACAGGATTATTGGTCCAAAGAAGAAGAATTTCAAGTACCATTTTTTTCTAAAATCATCGATAAAGGTCGATTTATGCAAATATTTTGGATGTTACATTTAAACGAAGTACACGAACCAAATGCAATATTAGAAACTAGATTACAAAAAGTGAGCAAATATCTTGAATATCTCGATTTGAAATTCCGAGAACATTTTATTCCTAATAAATGTATTTCTATAGTTGAATCTGTGGTGAAATACAAAGGAAGATTAGGTTCTACTGTTTATAATCCTCAAAAACCAACAAAATGGGGTATTCGTCTGTATGTTTTAACGGATTCAGAAAGTGGTTATTTATATTCTTTTCTTCCATATTATGGAAGTATAACTACTGAAAATTTACCATATCCTGAACTTCCTGTTACCAATAGAGCAGTTTTATATCTATATAAAAATCTTCAAAATTCAATTTCAGAAGCAAGCGGTTATCACATATATACTGGTAGATTTTATTCTAGTGTAATACTTGCGAAAGAATTATTATCTCAATCTTGTCATTTTACTGGTATAATAATGACGAATGGAAAATATGCTCCAAATTGTCTTAAAGAAGGAAAGTTGAAAAAAGGTGATATTGTAGCTTGTAGAAATGAAAATGTATTATTGTTTCAATTGAGAGATAAAAAAATCGTTAGCATGATAAGTACTTGGCACACTGTAGAAATAGAAACTAAAAATAAAATACCACACATTATACAGGATTATAACAAAAATATGAATGGCGTTAATTTGGCCAATGATTGTGCTTCGGTTTATTGTTTTATGAAAAAAACTTTAAAATGGTGGCGTAGATTATTTTTTTGGGGTTTAGAAATGTCTGTAATAAATTCGTATATTCTTTATAATTATAGAGAAAGAGAGAGCAATCCTATGACGTATTTAAAATTTGTTAAAGTTCTTGTAAGAGAATTAACAAAAGATTTTTATTCTATTTCAACAAATATTCCACGTGTATTTTTAAATAATAACCAACGACTAAATAATGAGTTACATGTTATTCAGTTGAATCCTTTGCATAAACATAAAGATTGTAAAGTTTGCTCGAATAGGAAAATAAAAGGAGGAAGACGAGAAACGAATTATTATTGCGAAACTTGTACCGATCATCCCGCTCTTCACGTGGGAGAATGTTTTAAAAGATATCACACTTTGCAAGATTATAAAATATAACTTTCTATTGAGATACATTGTTCTTTATTTATATAAATATTTGTTTTCTTCCTTTTCTTTTATTTTATTTTAATAAAACATAGCTAAGCAAATTCTTGTTCATTAATAGATGGATGAAAATGAAGAGTACTAAAGTTTAATTTAAGATGAAGATGTATATAAGCATATAAAAATGATTTGTGCAATAAAAAACTTATTTGTATACGTTGGATAGATGTGTATTTAATAAATCATAGTTAATCTTATTTGGAATTTTGTATCATTTAAATGTACATTTATATATATAACTCATATTCTATCTAATGCCTCTAACATAATAACACTATTTCCTCGAATCACCTGTAATTAGGAAATATTGATATTATTGAACATGAAATAAGGGAAGAATTAATTTTAATGTTGACATATTACTTACCACCATACCAATATTATTTTTTGTACCACCTTTACATTCTTCAACGCTCTCATCGATTACCATATTCATAAATGGATCAAAACCACGTAAAATACCAATTACATGCCTTCCACCATTTAATTTTACTATAAACAAAAATAATATGCTTTATCAACATCACAAAAAATTTACAAGAAAACTTTTGCCCTAAACAAATACAAATTATAATCAGTTGTTATTTGTTAATTATAATCATATGTTATTTGTTTATACTCACGTGAAAGACGTTTGTCCATATATCTACAAATAATAAAACAAAATGATAATAATTTTATATAAATTAAATAGATAACCTAAAATTCGTACTGTTTAATAATTTCATATAATCAAACTTAAATACAGTTTGAAATATTATTTAAGATATATAAATATAAATATACTAACTTTTTAAGCTCTGGAGGATGTGCTTTACTCATTTTTAATTATTTAAATTTAAAATTTTACACTTACAAAAATAATAAACCTTAACCAATTTCAACCAAGTGTATATAACCCTGATTCAACCAGGACTGCCACTATACAAAAACTAAATATCTTTAAAAATAATAACAATAAAACTGAATAATTTTAATATGTATATATCTATTAATATTTGTTATAGAACGGTAACTTTATTCATTTTAATACATAAAACAAATAATTACAAGTTTGTACTTGGCTATAAGCCAATTGGTAACAGGTTTCTGCAGTCTACAACATCCTTTGTATAACGTATATTATAACACTGACATGATATACATACAGTTTCCGACTAACAACATAATTACATTTTATAAATCATATTAATTATCTTGAAATTTTTTAATATAATACATAACACGTTATGAATAATATTTTTTCTATATTGTTCATTTTTATTATATTTCCAAGATACGTATAATAAAAGAATTTATGGACCAAATAACAATAAATAATTAAATATTAATCGGAGCTATTTGTACATATTAATTCAATTGTTTTTCGCTTTAATCGTTGATCTCTATGAAAAAATATCAATCGATTATAATAATTAGATATATCGTATACTCAGCTATCTAATATATCTGTTGTCATTTAAAATTATCACTTTTCTAATTGCAAGACTTGCAATTAATCTCTATGTGTTTTTATATAAATTAATTACATTTCACGAACATAATTTTAATTTTATGTTATTTTTAATAAAAAAGACATACAAAATTAACAATGATTAGAATTCAACAATTATAACGAAAAACAATTTTTTATAGATTATATCATAATTTTATCCATTTCTATATATACTTGTTTGTAATCATTTATAATCGCGTTATTAAATATAATAATCTCACAAGGTACTGCAAGTACAAAATATAAGTACGTCCATATTAAATATTTATAAAAGTACAACAAATACATCGATTCGTTAACGTAAGAAGTATAGATCTAAATAGATATTTCGAAAAGATACATTTTGAAATTGGCGAATCGACTGTACAGAGACAATATTTTTAGTAAAGAATTGATCGGAATCGATTTTGTACAACGTAAACATAAAAATCACAGTTTTTTCGAAAAAGTTTCTTTCGAAGAAATTCATTATTACGTAAAATATTTTTTTAGCGGGATCCAAACTTCTTTTTAGAAAAATCTTATTATACGGATTGGACGACCAGTGGAATCACTCCAGCATTAAATTACTTACTCGTCTATAAACAATTAACACGATACACGATATACACAATTCTATTGGCATATCCGGGAGGAATGATCTTTTTTTTATATCCTTTTTTTCATTTTTTTCTTTTTTTTTTTTTTTGTAAAGGATCATTATTTTCAAAATATGATCGTGTAAAAGGTTCGCGTTGGAAAGCTCGTAGCAAAACTTAACGAATAATTTTAGTTTGGGGCAGTCTCGAACATATAAATGTAATAAAGGCTAATTCAAAAAATTCAAATTAAAAAAAAAATTAATTAATTAATTAATTAATTAATTATCAACTTATATTTATAAATTACATTTATCAACGCGTTTCGAAAATGAAATACATACTCGATTTGATTAGAGGGTTGGATTTTAAGTAAGTACTTTAGACGGATTACATAGAAGATGAAAACATTTGATAAATATACGTTTCTCAAATATAAGAAGCAGTAAGCGACGAACAGTCGCAGCAGGTACATTCAAAAATGATTTTAACTTTGACGTCATTCTTCGAGCAAATGCACACACATGCACACGCACACACACACACGCACACATATACATAGTGAGAATGAAACGATTAATTAGCACAAAAATATCATTTTTTTACATGCTACCGCGTATGCTGCTAACGCAAAATATACGAAATGTATCATTCCTAACGTCTCTATACACAGCTTGTATAATAAATAACATTATAAGCGTATAGCATCGGACATCAACTGTGGTTTTTTTTTGTTCATCCTATTTTAGAAATATGTTATAGTAATCTATATAATAACAAGAATATAGCATGAACATTTATATAATACTCGATATAACTGGCAGACACGTTTTTCTACGATCAATATGCCATAATACACATAATCTCGGTCATTTCGTATTAATGACATAAGAAAGTGATTTTTCTTGCAAAATCATGTGATGAATTTTTTGATAGATCGTACGAATGTTAACGTTACGAGATCCATATATCTATCTATTTCTTTCTTTTCCTATTTACAAATATTCGATTTTCACTTTCTTCAAACCACTTTATCGATTAAACTATAATAGTGGAATGTACCTGCGTGAGCGCATTATTTTCGGTGGGTCATTTAATCATCTATTTACTAAGCTTTCTGATTAATTGAACTTTTCAAAGTATTTAATCAATTCTTCGTTGGCCCATAAATATCATATTTTTTTTTTCATCGGCATTTCTCAAACAATGTTTAAGAAGATAAAAATGATATAATTAGGGCAGTTGTAACGTAGGAAAGTTTCAGAGCAACTTGATCAATATATTTTACGTTTGTTTTGTTAACAACGTACACGTACGTAATATATATATATATATATTAAAAACAATGCTCATAATCGTTCCTACGTGAATGGACGATGTCATCAAGGACAAGAAGGCAAATTGGCAAAATCGTTTGAGAAAAGTCGATTAAGAAATATTTAATTTATGTACTTGGCAACAATTATTAATTTAAAAACGAATTTAGTTCAAATACTGTTTCATCTTTTGAAAACTTTGAAATCAAAATGGTTTACCAATTTTGTTGTTGTCAATACGATTACGGTATTTGATCGAAATTCGTTCGAAGAAGGCGACTACATCGAGTCCAACGATAAATCTCATGCGACACGAAAATCCTTCCTATATAATCTTAAGTAATATAGATTTTCTAGATATAACCTTGTGTAGGAACATCAATATGGTTTTAATTTAAGGATATATCAAAGCACCTTTCGTGTAGATTTATCACACACAAAGACAACAACTTGTCGTCGTTTAATATGATCTTCCTTTTATATATGTACTTACTTATTTTTGTCAAAAAACTTTTAGCTTATTGGATTAATGGAAGCCTATTATCTATTACGAAAGTAGCTCTCTTTATCTCTTTCATTCATTCTTTCCCTCTCTTTTGTTTTCTTCAATCATCGTATACAACTTCGGATCACGTGATTTACAATTACGTGTTCCGATCATATTATTTCCGATCACGTGGATTCATTCAAGCAATCCACTACTACATACTATTTGCACTTTTTGCAATAGCTAACAGATTAAAGAACCCTATGTAAACGTTAATATGCCAATTAGTTTGGACGAGTCTTCCTTGCTAAAATCTTTTAAGATGTGATCATGATTGACGTCATCATACCGTTGTTTCCTTAAAAATCTTCACCGTTGAATCTGCATGCTTTACGTGTACATATCTTGTTAATGTCGTTATACTTTTCTCATTATTATTGTTTAATATCTTGACATTCTTCAATTCAGTATTCACACTTTTGTCTGTTTCATGGAACGCCATCGCTCTGTCTATATGACCAGGAACGATAATTTGACTAATCTTTTCAAATTTTATTTAACGCAGTAATACAGATCAAAACATTTTTCATCTTCATATTTATTATTCTATATACAATTAATTATTTTTTTCCAAGTATTAATTTAGACTTTAAAATGATTTTATGAGTAATTTGATCTGTAGTACCACATAGTTCAAATCAATAACAAAACACATAGAAAGAGTGCAGTGCGACATGCAGACACTCGTAACACGTGGCTTACATATACATATGTATATGAAATTAGAATTAGGCGAAAATAAATTATTCAGCGAAATTAGTGATACACAAAATAACTCGTCGAAATCATGACAAATATGTATGTATATAAAAATATATATATATAAATATATATATATATTTTTTTCTATTAGGATTATTATAATATATCTCTGCAATTTAAATATAAGAAAATATTAAACTTGCAAGCACACGATTTCGAAATTTAATTTTGAAATTTGACTTTCAGCTTTCAACGACCAATTTCATTCATAAAATTGCATTAAGAGGTTATAAATAAACATAATTCGTTAATATATATAAAAAGAAATTTATATTTATAAGAACTGAAATTCGATTAACCTCCACTGTTGCATTTACAATTTTTGTAAATGATTCTCGGCGAGTATTGTAGAAAAGAAGTTTATTTCAAATATTATTATGTTTTTATATATGAATTTAAGATAAAACTTTCTAGTTAAATTCTTTTTTCAAGCATCTAACTTATTATATAATTACAATATTTTTCAGATTAATAACGGTGAAAGTACACTTATTGCAAGTACTTAAAAATTGTGATAATTTATAGAACAATTTAGAAAACAAATTATTTTTATAAGAAAAATTATTGCATATAAATTATTAATCCAATTATTTTAAAGATCTTTCTAAAGAATTATTTATATTATTCACATACATATTTAAAACTCATCAATTTTAATTTTGGCTACTTATTCTACATCATACATTGGCAATTTATTACTATGAAGAAATGCGATACAAAAATGCTTATACGTATTGAAATAACGTCATATTAAACATTGTAATTGAATAATGCATAGATTATTTAGACATAGATAATTTAAAAAAATATAAATAAAACACTATAAAATAATAATATTATACTGTCATATTTTCACAATATTTATTAGATAAATTAATATATATTTTAGAATTATAACAAATCTAGAGCTTTGGCTATTAAGTTCACATATCAGATGTAGTATATACATGTATACATACACATCTTGATATAATAAGTGCTTTATAGATTAAATAAGTCTCCTAGATATCACTTCACATGCAAGAAAGATCGAGACATGCTTATTTTAAGAAGTTTTACATTTTGAAGCGTTAAAAAAAGCAGGATTTCAATAGGAAATTGAAATTAAACCTTAGAAGACATTATGTAATAGTACAATTGACATTATTTTTTGTTAACTATCAAATCAGAAACTATTTAAAAATAAAATAGTCGTCATTTCGCATAAAAAAATACTGATATCTTAGATTTCAAACATAATTTTCTAGAAATAATAACTTTCTAAAACTATGTCTGGTTTATTTCAAACATGCATTATGAATAAGGCAAGTATTATAATTAAATTCATATAGTTTAAATATAAAGATATTCATTGCGAATCTTAGAGTGCAAAATAAATTTGTATTTCAATAGCATTTGTTAGAAAATAATTATCAAGGCAGTATGATAAAGCTTCGGATGCATCTACTAAAATCGTCACATTACATGCAACTAAAGAAAATATTTATATTTTTACAAATATAAGCAGGAAGTAAATCGGACAAAATCTAATTTTAAATGAAATATAATGTTCGAGTGTTATTATTCTTATTTTCACATAAAATATATTAAAATTATTCTCTTCTATTATCATTCTACATTTTTCTAGTTTTTATTTCTTCCTACTTACTACATTATAACTTCTTAAGGCACATAAGAAAAAGTAATACTATTTCTTTATAAGAAATATTTAAATAATGTATCTTTGATTTATATACCAGTCATAATCAGTCATAATTTGAACTGGAAATATAAAAATGAAATAGAACGATTTATGTTAAATAAATACTCTATGGAAGTGATAATAGTTATAATGAAAAACATGGAATAGAAAAAGTAGGACCTTTTAAGAAAATAATAATGAATAATGACTCTCATGAAACAACGCAGCAACATCTTTGACATCTACTCTGCTTTTGTACAATATTATTTTTATATTTTTGCGTTACTTTGTATGCTTTTAATTTCAATCTAACATTCCCTGTATTATCGCTAATATCTTGACTTTTTATTGAATTACTTCTAGTAGTATTTTTGGAAGCCATCTCTTGCTTACTCTCACACCTCAATATCTCTACATCGTTACCTATTGTCCTACATACACTCGAAGATGCTGTTTTTATGTCACTATCACACTTGTCTTGACCCGAAATTTGTGACTGTGTATTAACTACTCTATCTTGTTTCCTACACTCCTCTATACTTGTACTATCAATTTTGATACAAAATTCTTTGGAATGAATTTCCTCACTTTCCAAATTTTCTCTTGAAACACATAAATTCACATTACTATCAGTTAACATATTATCCGCTTCACAGCTTCTATGTATTTCACTATAATGATTTTCACCATCTACATTTGATCGTATATCTTGTACGTTGTGTATATTTTCATCAGAAGTTTCTTCCATTAATTCGTTTATTTTGCTACCTACTGATGTTATATCTTCTATTGACTTTTCATTTAAATATTTCTGTACATCTTGTTTCAATGATTCCTCGTTTGCAGCTAACAATAGATGCAGTCCAGTTTCCTGAGTTCTTTTTTCTGCATTTAATGGCTCTTCATATGTTAGATTAGTTTGACTACTTGAGTATATATTTGATTTATTCTCTAAATAATTATTGCATTTATTATCATGCAAGTAAACTGAACTTTCATTGGATTCAATGTTACTTGCATTTATTATTGCTATACGTGGTATAATCAATTCACCACCAGGAGGATTTAAATTAGAAGTTGATAAATTCATAGAGTCATCAAAATTATGATATCCCTGTTGGCCTTTTCCTTCGATCCAAGCTTCAGTTAATATATGCGATCTTTGCCATAAAATGTCGCTATTGCATCTCCTTTTCTCTATGTCTAAATATTGTTCCTGAGTTTCAGGCCATGAGTGTAAACGACATTGACTGGAACTCTTTTTCATAATAGATTGTCGTTCCATATCTGCTTCACGTTTTTTATCACGTGCGATTAATTCTAATTTTGATTTCAATAAAGCTGGAGATACAGCTCTATCAATACGTCTTGTTATATTCGACGAGTGAGCTGATTGAAGCGTTAAAACACTGTCACTAGCATCAATTATATGATCGATATCTATATCAGGAACTTCACCTGACACTAAAATAGCATTTGGACTTGGACTGTCCATACTATCTGGAGTATAGGGATCATGCTTAATAGGTGCTGCGTACAAAAGGTTGGATGAACGATCAGCAGAGAGCGTTCGTGCACTAATGTAACTGGTGCTATCAGGCAACATTGGTAACAAATCCAAATAATTGTCAGGAACTCGAAAGCAAAACTCTGGTGCACATGGCAAGCTGCAGCAATTAATCATACCTGCTTCTGGTGCGAGATTAACCCTCAAGTAAACTGGCTGTAAAAATGAAAAGACACGAACCTTATATATCATAGTATACTTTTAAAAAAATTCAAGAGATATTGTTAATATATTGGAGTTCTACGTAAAGGTTAACTAATATCAACATGATTCGATGTCGTGATGCTGTGTCCTGTGATCTGTGGATAATACTCGTCGGCCTTTTTCTTATATTTTATATAAGGTACAATCATAGAGAAAAATTAATTAAAATGCATGACTCACATCTATCTACCATCGTTATCAAAAACTTATAATATTAAGAATATGTAAAAGTAATTTCTTTTTTCTTGTTTAAATAAATTATTCTCAAAATAAATATGGAAAAACCAATATGCTGAATATTATAAATCATTTCTTTTTTTGATAACAATAGTAAAGCTAGCAAGTCAAAATTCATGAAGAATGTAAGATTTGAGTTATGGTACTACATTCAAAAGGTCCCAATAAATATATAATCGATCAAAGCAACAAAGATCTAACAAAAATAAAAAGTACATGGGAAGCCAAAGAGAAAAATAGACAGACAATTCATATAGTACCTTAATGCTTAGAGATTCATTCGAAACTCCAGAAAAACAGGCTGCACCATAATAATTAAAACAGTGGATCATCAGAATAAGATTTAGGAAGTGTGTAAATATATATGTACCGAGTATAATAAATATAGCAAGTAAGATTTGTTGTTATGAAATTTATATATATAATATAATTTATCTTACCTTATGATCACCCATGCAAGTTGTTCTTCCTATTATACCATACTCTACTGCATTAGAAGAGGATATCTGTAAAAAAAGAAAAAAAAATATATATATATATCATATAATGTATAAAATTACTCAATATATTTTTTATTAATTTTTTTACGGTCGTAATACTCGTTAGCATGAATAACGTGTAGGTGGTGTATGTAATTAATTATTGCCCAGAAAATCTATTCCTACGAATTAAGAGTGTGAAATTCATTTTTTGTTTATATTTTATATACATTATATATAAAAATATAAACAGTAAAAATGCCTTGCCAAGAATAACCTTCGACCGCAAAGAATTAAAGTAAGTTACATTTCAATCAAGTAAAGGTTTATATTCCATACATTTTGGACTAGCATCTTTGCTGTGGGACTCAGTAATACTCTGTCACACCAAGCTGGCACTCTTGTTTGCATGTAATTTGTGGCTTCATTTACATCTTCTTGAAAAGGATAACTTGGAATAAAATTAATCGGAAATTCAAACAATCTTCCTTCAAAGTCTTCCAATTCCTTGTCATATTCTCGTAGCTGCATAAACATCGGTTATTTCATTATGGAGTTCCTAATTATTAATGCATTTTGATAAGTAACAATAGATAAAACAAATAAAAAATAATGCATGACTTACCCATTGTCCACTATTATTAACAAAAACATTTTGATGTTCATAATATGAAAATTCTTTTTTCCCCAATGATAATACAAGATTATCTTCCTTGTTGTGAAATTGTAATTTAGAAATATTCCCTTTATTCGATAGTTTTCTTTCTTGAGTATCTTCAGTAAGTTTCTGTTAATAGCAATAATAAAAATGATTATTGAAAGTTTATAATATTCATTAATGTGAAGTACAGATAATTCTATACCTTAATTACACCAGCAGTATCAGTTCTAAAATTAAAATCACCAAATAAAAAGTATGGTGCTTTTGGATATTTGTCACTGTGAAATCTATCTAACGTATGTTCCAGCGCTCTTCTGCGCGTTTTACTATAAACGGATGGAAACTGCAATTACAAAGAAACATTGTGAAGTAAAAAATAATGTGAAAGGATTTTCATTTTCACGTAATTAAATTGTCTAACTTACAGTTTCCATAGCAATAAAATTACTTGCATCATGGAACAAGTGTATATTTATGAGATCAAAAACTGTTCCACTAATACTCCATCGTGTTCGCAAATATCCTTTTCTGGACCATTTACATTCGGGAAAAAAGTCTTGAGGGAACTTTGCTTTTTCTTTGGTTGTAACTGCTTCTATATTGCCAGAATGAATTTCTTTGCCACATACTGGTGCAAAAGAGCATTCTAAAATTAACAAACAAAAATGAAAATGTATCGTTGCAATTAAATTATTTTTCAAAGTGACAATTGATATAGAATATCTACCTTTGAAATCCCATAATAAAACATCTTTTAAAGACTCATGAATAAAATAAAAATTTCCCAATGCCTACAAAAAAATGTTATTTAATAATTTTGATGCTTTAGGATAAAAATAGTTATTAGATTTCAACTTACTGTAAAATGTTCAGCCGACGAATAATCTTCATCTAGAAATACTCTTGTTTTGTCAAACAATCTTAGTTCTTCCGACGACATTAGTAACCTAAAAAGAAAAAGAAATTTTAATCATCAATAAATACAAAAACCTAAAGAGAAAAATTATATATTCTGTAAATTTTATAGAATTTTAAAAATCTTTTATGGCTTTTTTTTTCATCTTTTTATATTGTGCTTTCACATGGATATCATTCAATAAACTAATCTTTTGAAGTGGCTCAACCAACTGTAAAGTCATGCGTGATATTCTATTTTTATCCTTTTCTGCTGCTTATGCGTTAAATCACATTTAATATTGTGAACAAGGATACCCATATGATTTACCTTGTTCCTTCAAAGGCTCGTTTATAACTTCTATATCATATTAAAAAGATAAATCATGTGAATATTATTAGTAAAGTTACAAAAGTAATATTATTGTTTTTTAATTATAGCCATATTATATAAAATATTAATATTAAACATAGGTTTTTTATTAATTAATTATAGAATGATAAAGTCAATTGTATATAATTTATATAACTATAAAAAAAATTTGATAAGTACCATAATTTAATTATTTACAGAAAATGATATAACAATCTTTGCATAATCACATTAATAGAAACCTTTAAAGAAACCACTAATGAGATTCAGGTTACTATTTAGAGCATACAGGAAACAGTACAGACCATATCAAGAACTTGCTTCAATCATTTATAAAGCGACACATTTAACTAGTTCTTTTAACATGCCGTCAAAATTGCACATTAAGATTTATATTTGTAAAAATTAAATTTTAATGTTGAAAAGCTAATAAATTGAAGAAATTTAATAGATATTTACCTAACAAAATCTTCCACATGTCTCATACTTTGTTCATAATTTTTTCCACCTACTTCTTGGCAGTGCAGCGCTATAAACTTCGAATCTAGACGCGATATGGTCTAAAAAAAAAGGGGGGGAATTATAAAAGGATGCGACTTAATGCCATTTAATTCGCAAGATAATAATGATGATAGTAAAGCTTACCGATAAAAATTCTTCTGTCCATATCTTTAACATGACACTAGGCTGCAAAGTAAAAAATGAAAAGAACATTATTAAATGGAAATAACTGTTCGAAGAAACTTAAAAAATGATTGCATTGATATTACACTGGAAATAAGTTGAAAAAAAGGAAAAACGCGCGTTTGCATTCGGCAAATCAAACATCAAACAATCGAGCGCCTCGATTCATTGTGAACGCGTCGCACTTGCAAACAGTACCGGCACATACATACATAAAACGCACACGCAAACACGTATACATTGTACAGGTATATAAGATATTCGCGCGCTAAACGATACGTCGTCATATTAAACGAATTGAATTGTGATGATAAAATATTTCGATTTCGCATACACACATACAATTTAAACAAGACGACGTAAGAATCGTTCTATGAGGCACAACGCATTCGACAGTTTTCTTTTAAAGAGATTAATCACCATTCACAATAATAATAGTCAAAATAAAAGTTTGAACGCGTGTACGAATAGTAGCGCAGTCAAAACAAAACAAAATACATGACTAAAGCGCGCCAAATGGATAACACGTATTACGATAAGAAATGAAGACGTAATGAAAGAAAGGAAAAGAAAAGAAAAATAGAAAGAATTAAATTGTTATTTATAATAAATAGAAGGAAAATATTACAAAGTAAAAAAGAAAAAAATGTAAATAAAACGTACCTCTTCGAAGATACTGCCGACGTTTGCTGTGACCAAAAGAATCGAAACTCCTTCGATGGTAGCCATTCTCGAGAGTACAACGAATACAGAAAGAAGAAGAGAAGAAAAAATTGAGCGAACTATATCCTCGTTGTGGATCCTCTTGAGGAGAGGAGCTACGTCGAGGAGGCCCTTGAAACGACGTGAATGCGCAATGTGTGCGTATGCACCGCGCGTGTACGCGCTTTCTCTCTCTCTCTCTCTCTCTCTCTCTCTCTCTTTCTTTCTCTCTCTCTCTTCTCTTCTTTCTTTTTTCTTAAGACGTACGCTCGGTTGCACACACAACCTGTCACAAAAAGTTGTTATAACGCGCGCGCACTGCACTGCCGAAGAGAAGACGACGATGACGATGACGATGACGATGACGATGACGATGGCGGCGACGATGATTTACGACAGGAATCAGTACCGACCGAGGGAAAAATCAACCCCTACGCCAAGGAGAGGCCGCGGTCATCCACCGTATCCCGTTTACATCAAAGCTCGCACTACTGCTGTTACTGCTGTTGCTACTGCTGCTGCAAATACACCACATCGTTAATCGAATAACGGCCGAGACCCGTTGGCGCACAAGAGGACAAGTCGTGCGTGCCGTAAATATACCCCTCTATCAGGCCGCCGTCCGAAGCCACGCCTACCGAACGTCAATAGGCAGTACCGTACACTTCGTTTTTTCAAATGCGCATAATGATATCTCTTTTCTGCTTTTCTCTTTTCTTTTATCTTCTCTTTCATCCCTTTATAAAACTAAAACGTTTTTAAGATTGACATTTTTAACATATCGAAATTAACGTTCGATATCTTCGATTGATCGATAATAATCATTTTATTATTTTTTCGAGATATCTCGAAAAATTTTTTAACTATTATTCATCTAAATTGTAAGGTTTTATATGATTATGTCATTTTAATTGTATTACTTGTTTGCATTTCTTTTTTTTTTTCTTAAATACTAAATTCGTTTGTAGGGTGATAAATTAACGATAACAAAAGGGATTTTCTTATTAATTTCTTCGAAAAGTTCAAGCACGTGCGTACGCGAGCATTCTCACGTAGAGTTGATCACACGATGGAATGTCCAAATGACTTGACTCGCGTCATCTCTTAAAGATTTCGCATAAGCGCATTTCTTCGATCTAGGTAAAATCCAAAAAACGCTCTGACGTTATTTGTGATAACGTACCGTATTTATTAAAGTTAATGATTTTTAGTTTCATGTCTAGTTTCTATTCACTTAATATTATTTCTTTTGTCATAATAAAGAACAAATCGTGCCTTAAGGGAATTCATGAAATGATTTATACGACTTTTTTTGGTTTTTATATTTTTTAAGAGATGTTTAAGATACCGAACTTATTTCTAATGAATTCGTAATAAGTATTTCTACAATTCTCCCTACAATACTGACTAATTATTTCAATTATCCTTTTCATGTAATGAATCAGAACCAATCAGAGCTTTTGAATACTTTTTTGTATTTATTTAAAAACGTCGATATGTGCAATCTTCGATCAAGATCATTATCGAATTAAATAGAATGATCGATATCGTTTAATATTTATGAAACAAATTTTGATAGTATCGCGCGCATTCAACATGTTGCAGAATATGTACATTTAAAAACATACATATTTCATATATTTAAAAATTCTCTGGGATTCTCATCAAACTGTACAAATTGTTGGATTATATAAATTTAAGTTATACTTCTATATAAGAGAAATTAATTCGCGTTTCTGTTTGTTACTTTGGTTTTTCGAACTTAGTGAGGTTAACTTATCTAAAACAATTAAGATATAATAATAAATCAAATTGATGCGATAAAAGGTCAGATAAAAGTACATACACGTACCATCTATTGTTACGTTTATTTTTAAGATGGGATATTATGCAATTTACTACTCTTTCAATTTATATATATATGAGATTAAACATATTCAATCAATGATTATAATAATTATTATCTATTAAAATAATAGTTATTCGTAAACTAATTGATTTGACATGAAGCGAGTTTCTTTGGTTGAAAGTATACTTACATATCGTTTAAATATTATGAGCTGAATATTCATAAAAAAGGAAAAAGAAATGTTTTTCGATCAGTTAATCCATTAATTATCCACGTCAGATTTTACATACGTCATAGATAAACGTGACTATTAGGGGGGGGGGTAGATAAATATATAAAAAATAAATATATAGTCCCTTAGATAAACGCCTTAATGATACAGACCTGACCAGGAAAGCTTACTGTTGCGCACGAAGCGAACGCGCACAAGCCTTACGCGCCGTTTATACTTCGTTCTCTTTCTTTTTTCTTTTAAAAAAAGACGTCATGCAAATCAACGTACTGGTACCACATTTTTCGAGTATAATCAATAACATAAATTTTCTAATGATAATAGAGGAAAATTTAGATAAAAGTGAGATAATGTAGACAAGTTACGTCTGTTTTTAAGGTGCTTTTATATAAATTTACGAAGTACCACGAAATATAACGAAGCATGACGAAGTTTAATACGTCGAGTCGATAATCCATCTTCAAAGTTACGACGAATTAACTGTAACCAGTTGTCCTACAATATTCGGCTTTTCCGTGTACTCCAAAATACATCGCTCAAACCCGAGCGACATGATATTCGCATTGGGACGATCGATTTACATTTCGTGAAAATTCTGTTCAAAGAACATCGTAAGTATCTTTTCGCCTGTCAAATTCTTGAAAAAATTTCCCTCAAACTGACCAAGAAAGATGAAACGCCTCATCTATCATGTGGCAAATTCGATCGCTATTTTTGACATACAACTTTTATCGTTTGTTTTATATTTCTTTTTTTTAAGGTTTTTAAGGTTAGACGTTTAATCGAATGAAATCCATGGAAAAAGAAATCATCGTAAAAAGCATCGCTTGCAATTACGAATATAATTTTCTTTTATTCTTGTTTTTCCTTAAGAACTATTTTCAAAAGATTGTATTTTTTAGAATATGCGCGCGTGTATTTCGTATAAGTTTGTATTTATTCAGCTTTCTGAACTTCGCCATTGCATATTCGATATATGGAATTAACCTCATTCGGAAAGATGCATCAAGAATTTAACATCCGTAAAGAGTTTCATCGAGGTTAACTAAAAATTTCGCATCGAGATTCTCTCTGAAAGAAATTTTATTTATATCGAAGAAGGACACATGCATTATAGTGTGTCGTGATCAATGAGAAAATATTCCTCGGTAAATTCAATTTTAATAGAAATAATAATAAATGATTTTCGAATCATTGATTACTTAAATTTCTCATTGAATGCACTTTTAATACAATACAAAACATTGTCGTTTGTTTTTAATATAAAAATGATATCATTACTGTCATATCATTATTATTAAGATCGAGATTTTTATTTATGTCTGATTTCTTTATCAACTAAAATATGCGCGCGTTTTTCGAATTGATATCGATCGATCTATAATTAAATACGTCATTTGTTGATATTTTTTTTAGCGAAATGCATCGACACGTGGAAATATTAACAATTCTGACGACCTTTGCTTGTGCTGAGAATATTTTAATGACTGAGGTCTTTGTCATACCTATCAGACCGGAAACTTTCGATTGGAGTCCAGACGGTAAGACAGACAAATAGATAATTAAATTAGTAATATATCATGTTTATGACGAAACAATAGTAAATAAGAATAATAAATAAAAACAATAAGATAAAATGAAATAAAACAAAAGGCAAATGAATAAAGAAATGACTTGTCAAAATTAAACGTTCAAAAATTCTATAATGAAAACAGTCAAATAAATAAATAAAAAAACAAAAATAGAAAATAAAAATTTGCAGACTTAACTTTTTTTCTAACGCACGCAATATTAAAAAAAAAAGAATGAGAAAAAAAGAAAGAAAGAGGTGTTCGTTGTCACCCCTTAACCCGCTTCACAATTTGAAATTAAAGTACGTCTCGCACGTCATTCGGCGCGCACCACGAATAGCAATTATAGACGCGTCTCGAGCGTTAATAGCATTCGACCTCGTACATGACATGCGTCCGCCTCTCTTTCTTTCTTTCTCTTTCTTATATGCATTTCAAGAGACACTTTCTAACACACCTTCCGCCAAATTTGTCTAATCATAAATGTTGAAAGTCATCCGCACGTAATCGAAGAATTTCATCAAAAGATACGATTGACTATGACTCTTTCGATATTCTGCTAATTGACGTAGACTTTAGTTAATGACTCATTATGGATCATTGTTTCAATAAAACATATTCGACTTCATCGTTATCATGATTCATCCTTTTTATTTTATTTTATTTTTTATTTTCTATTTTTTTTTTTTGATGAATCTGGATAATTATAATCATATTCGTGTGAAATTTCATTTCTAGAATATCGAATGAGTTATCATGAAACATTTCTTTATATTTATTATTCATATATTAATAATGAATGGTCATGTGTGCGTGTGTTCAAAATAAAATTTTCTTTTATCTTCGACCACGTGCCCGATAGTTATTTGGACTTTAATATAAGAATGTCGAGACTATACAATTTAAGATTGCGAGGAACGTATGATTGCTTTATCTTATGTTACATGACGCGTGGGTAAACGATTTATGGTCGACGAGACAGTTCACATTAATACAAACTACGCGAAAGACGAGTTAGCTTGATTTCTTTGAAGAAGAATAGAGAAAGACAGAAAGAAAGAAAGAAAATGAATGAAGGAATGAATGATTAAATTATATATATATATATTCCTTTTATATATCGTTTTTTAAATAGTTACCCGTTTATATACCACATACAAGTTTTAATGTTTTAACAATGGCTTTTCATTTTACAATCGATTGCCACTATAGGAAAATACGATCAGTTTACGTACCAACCGTCCTTGCTCAATGCTCCCGATCTTCCGTCATGGATTCACTATGTTCATAGTAAAAGAGATCACGGTGGATTTCTTTATGGAGTCGCACCAAAAAATCAAAAATATTTTCAAGTAAGCGCACGAATTCTTATCATCATCATCATCATTATCATCTCCTTATTCAAATTTATCATGATTTAGTTGTTATTATATTTAATGAGAAAAAAAGATATATATATATTTTCAGTTGGAGATTGTGGGTTTAAACAAGTACACGTACGAGACGAAATATAAAGTACTTGACATCAACGTTCTTGAGAAACAAAATTTAACGAGATACGAGGTCAACTTAAAAATCGATAATCTCAATGTGGAAGATACGTTTGGTCGTAATCGAACCGAAAAACTTCTTGATGTTTTCAGGTCTGCCTCACGACGGATATATACTTTTTATAAAATTTATATCTGTTTTTACTTCTCTTATTATATTCGCACGAGATACATGATCTTTCAGAAACAAACTTTGGACGACTGCCACGGATTTGTATGTCACTTTTCTGGCTTCAGCAGTCGAACTTGGTGCACGTTTACCCCTTAAACCTGGAGAAAGCGAGGGGTAAGCTGGTCTTATTTTCTAAAAGACTTGAAACTTATGTGCCAAAGGAGTGAAAGATCAAAACATTTCTTCGTTATCGCTGACGTATCGATCATCTGATCGCTAACAGAAAATAACGCACTGACGTGCATTTTACGTTTTTTTTCAAGTCTACGATCGTCAGATATTTATAATATGTATAGAAGCACATTTACAGACATATACATTAGTATCAATTTTATATTCATTTTTTATGTTGACTTCGTTAAAGATCAAAATTCTTACGCAATATCATTGACGTTTTATTATTAATACTGTAGTCTGTAAATTTAAATTTATTATGATATTCTCATAGAGTAATTAAGACTTTGTAACATGAGAAGAATTTCGAAAGACGTTATTCTTCGTACGAGTTTATCTTTCAGGTTAAACGTACGCATCTTTGTTGTTAATCAGCATGATTTTCCTCGTAAGATAGGGAGAAGTCGTCTTTCGTATTATCACCTGTGTCAGTCATACAGGTGACTAACGGTATAATATTATCCGTGGCTACGTTTTATACGAAAAATAAAATTTCGATTCTATATGAAAATTTTGTGAACTTTTCGTCAGAAATTCGTATTCTTTTTTACAAGTAAAAGAACTATAAGTAAACAATATATATTATATATAAAATATATATATAGAATATATATATATATAGAATGTATATATATATATAAAATATTTATATAGAATATATATATAGAATGTATATATACATTATATATATATATAATGTATATATATGAATATATATATATATATGAATATATATATATATATATAATGTATATATAATGAATATATATATATATATATATATATATATATATATATATATATATATATTCTAATTTTCACTCGAATACTATCACGTAATGAAATATAATGATTTTAGGAGAAAATGACAAGTGATAAGCATCTCCAATGATTGCAGAAAAATATTTTAGAAAACTGTAGAAGTTATTAAAGCCTACAAATTCCAAGGAAAAATCAATGAAGCAACGGGATTGATAATAACCCATCATTCTTCATAGCAAATATTATTGTACATCCACGGGAAATGACGAACGTTCTCGACATAAATTTTAATCATTTTACAAACGCGTATATAATGTCTACAATACGTCATAATAAGATTTGATTATTTCATATCGTACATACAATCGGAAGTATAAAAAGGAAATAATATTTCATGAGATTAGATAATCGCCGGCCTTCTAATCTTTATATGGTAAGGTGCTTACGCAAGTACTGCTTACGAAAAGTATTTTTTTTTTTATCACAGAACCAAATAATTCTAATTTCTTGTCAAAAATTTCTCAATTTTCGATTACAATATACGTACCAAAATTAAAGTTGCGATTAATAGAATGTTTCTTTTTGTGATAATGAATATCTTCTTTTCATCTTCATTGATTCTATCAACCAATTTAGATCCATGAACATTTTTCTTCTTTGTTGGAAAGAAATATTAATCCATGGACAATTTTGAAAGAAAAGAAAAAGAAAATCATACGATCACAATCTCTTTGGGAAACTCGATTCTGCTGATAAAAAAGTTATGCAACTTGATTTAATGATCATAGAAATGTAAGAGGAATAGATAAAACGTATTGCGCGTCTCGTGTCTTGTCAAAGACCTCGATGGAACGGTGCCCGCGCAGCTACTAAAAGACTAAAGCAGTCCGCCTACTTGCGGCAACGTAACGCCTCTAATATGTACACAGCGTGTAAATAGTCTGACTGCTCGAACAAGTACGATATTGTCAACGCTACAAGCGAAGATAATCGAAGCGCTTCACTGAATGACGTTCTCCTGTCCCACGCACGCGATAAGGCCACACCTCAACTCCTCTCACTTCACCTCATCTTAACTTATAATGCCTCTTTAGTTACGTATTGGACCAGTGTCTCTCAAATTTTATCTTCGAAAAAATTAGGGCTTGGATATTTTCTTTTTTAATGGAATGAAGAATAACTGTATAGGAAGAAATTAAACCATTGACACACGCACACACACACATACACACACATTTCACGATCGTCGTTTATAATTAACGGTATAATAATAGAGAGATGATTTATCATTTTTTGTAGGTATAAGAAATATATATAAAGTATATGATTATCGATAGATAATATGCGTAAAACGTTTTGATGATAAACAATGACTTCTTTTTCCTTGATTGATTATAAATAATGGCCAGCAAAAATGAAATAATATTTGAAAGAATCCTTGGTAGGAATGACGCAAATATCATAAAATGAAATATGCGATATAACTCGCATTTAATAGTATAATCACGGAAAAAGAATCCTTGTATTTTTGACTCGTCAGTGTGTATCACCTTTTTCGGTTCACCATGAGGTCATTTCAAATAATTTATCAGGAAACGAAATTCTCTCTTATCTTTCGTTGAGAAAACTCAACGCACCTGTAGCTTTGATATGTTCACTTGTACTTATGACGAAAGAATTTTTTTACTTGTCTGACGTGTTTTTTAGTACTTACGTCATCACATCAGTTTCGGAGGAAAATAAATAAATATGTATGACTATGATAACAAACGGTTTCAAGACCGCCAAAATATTATGATATTATTTTCACATATAAAACGAGTGCGTTGGAATGAACAAAAAGAGTCAGGAAATTTTTCCGTGAATCACACATTTTTATTAATTTCAAAATGGAATTATCAACATTAGACGTTAGAATGACATCAGTTTATTCCATCGTTTTTTTATGAAATAACATTCAAAAAAAAAACTACTATCTCGACTTTCTTTATTTTTTACAGAGTCGTCATGAGACTGGGTAGTTCAATACCATTTTCACAAGAATTGATTGAACTTCAAGAGGAAGTAAAACCACTTTGGAAGCTACTACCATCCTGTCCAAGAGATTTTAAAAGAACGAGTGTGGAGAGATTATTCAGAGAAGCCGGTTTTTTATTGGATTGGTGTTCCTTCAGGCTGGTCGGATAAGTTTCTAATATAGACGTTTCTTTTACATAGACGAATAATATTTTAACTAATAGACGAAAAGATTTAATAATCATTTGTCGGTTTACGTTATAAAAAGATCGAAAGCGACGAGCAGAATTTGCAACGAGAAAGTGCGAGACGTGGACCAAGTATGAATATCGTTGGTTTACCATCCTCTGGAATTTCTGAACATACCGAGTGGCAATGGGCAAGATCAACGAAAGCTGATATTCCTACGAGAAGTTATTTCAAAGAAATCGTTACAACGATCTTCGTACCAACGATATTACTTCTTCTTCTGGCCACTTCTCTGAGTACAGCACTTTGTCTTCATCGTGACAAAATGTAAGTTCATGGTAAATTGTTTTATACTATCCAATTAAAACAATTTTACAAAACGAACACTTCGTATACATTCCAAAAATTTGCAATATTTCATTCTTATTAGCTTCTTTAATTTTATTTGAATCGTTAGAAAAAAAATATCATTAGGATTCGAAAGTCATGATGCGTTCTTTCTGTTTGGGTGTCTTAGCTCGTAAAATCGGTCACACGTGTAGCGGCATATAGAGTATAAACGAGCGAGACAGAGGACAAGGAACTCTCATAGTAGGTTTCATTCATAAGTAGGAACGATATCTGACCAAGCAATGTCGTGACGCTCAGCACGGTCGAAAATATGTATGTGATGTGGTCCGCGAACACTCGATAAACGTAATCGGCTCATGACATACGTACATATATGTATGTACATACATACATGCATATATATATATATATATATATATATATATATATATATATATATACAGAAACATATGTGATATCATTGAAACACAAGTGTGTCGTTGAAATAATAAAAATGCATAAGTAAAAAATGATATTTACATCAAAAGCTTTTAATAAAAAATTCTATATACTTTAGATATACATTATATGTATGTACTTTAAATATACGTAGATTTGAAATATGCGAAATAATTCAAATAGCTTTATAAATAAATAATAGATTAAATTACTCGCGTCATTTGAATTTCACAAACTACACTTTATATATAAATAGGAGAATATAAACATAAGGATCACATTCATGTTCTATCTCGCTTAGCATATAATTATCCTAACAGAAATAAATAAAATGCAGAATATACGGTAAAGTGTGGGATAAAACAATCATAATTTCTTCATAATTATTAATGTAACTCTATTAATTCTGTTTGATAATTATATTAATTCTACTTGATAATTATTAATTTACACATGATCAAGCAATATTTATAACGTGTTATCGATAAGCTAATTCATTATTAGGATTTTGTAAATTGAAGTTTATTAATTTCTTTATCTGTCAAATACATTAATATATAAATCGAAATGTTGAGATATTTATAGTTAGATTAATTGTGGAAAGATGACTTTATTAAAGTCTTCTTTATATTCGTATTATTCGTATTATTCGTATTATTCGTATTATTCGTATTAACGTAGTTTAGCTCGATCCTACAAAATATCAAGATTCCCGATCTCACGTAATCAAGTTAATCGTCATTTCCTTACGATAATGATAATGCGAATAACGTGCAACCTACGTAAATAGACTCGAGAATCGCACGTCATCGTACTACGTAAAATGATCATTTGCTATGACGTAAAGATTATCATCGATGTAAGTAAAATTATTAGTTTACGGTCACATTTTCATTATGACTTCCGTATTCTAATACTTATCATTTGTAGAAATTAATTGCTAAAATGTTAGTTGTATTTTATTTTTATAGGATGGATCCAGAATCTCAATTATACTTCTATGAATTATTTAATATTTTTCATATCCAAAAGGAAATTGTTAGGTATATCTATTACTTCATTTATTTCCTTAATTAACAAAATTATAATTATGATTTGTATGCTCAGTTGAATAATAAAAGTTTAATAAGCAATTTTTTACATTATTAATAAATTTTACTGTGATCTTGTAACGAAAATAATTTATTTACGTTCGAGATTGCTTATTATCGTCATAAATTTATTTGTTTAACTTATATTATTTTGAATATATTTTATTTTTGTATTGCTATATTAGTTTTGTAACGCTATGAAATTTTTTTATTTTGCAGTTATGCATATTATCCATTTGCATGCCATTCTATAGTCGGTAGGTACAGTTTTTCATTTATATAGCTTATAGATATTAAAAGATAAACTTTATTGCATATGTAAACATATAACTGTGTTTAAATAGTTCTTTTATTTATAGCAAAAAAACAGAACCTTCATCAGTAGAAACAATGAGCAAGAATGGAGTGCAAATGGTACAATATGTAGCTCCTGAGAGAGGTACTTTGAGATCATTATCTGTACCACCTTCTAGTCCTAATGACTCTTTAACACATACACCAAGGTATAGAAATATTGTCTAATCTATTAATTAATAATTAATTTTTTATATTAATTATTACTATATTTACAGAATTTCTAGTGACCGTTGCAATCCATATATTCGACCTAATCCACCACCTTACACTGGACCAAGCAATTTGTACGTGTAAAAATAATCATTATGAAATAATATAAACAATATATAAGGATTATATAATGATAATAATATATTTATGTATAAAATTTTTAGCCCAGGTATGAGGACAGATTTCTGACTATACGAGGAGCCAGGAAAAACGTGGTTTTGCTAAACAAATACAATAAAAATACGCTTTGGACAGAGAAACTGCAATAGTTTGCGCTTTGGACAGAGAAACTGCAAAATCATAAAAACTGGCTCCATAAATTATAATTATAATGCTTAAATCAAAGTTGAAGTAGTAAATTTAATTAAGTGTGCTCTATATATTTCATTTAAAGGAGCCTTAGATATATAACTTATAAAATGATAATCTTTTAGTAATAACAAATAAAGTTGTAATAAAATTGTTTATAGTTTTTCCTTAAATTATCCTTATACAGTATTTATATTTTTTTTAATTTACATTTTCATGTTTATGTATAATCCATATTTAAGAACACAATTTCAAAATGTTTTGAATTTGGCGGACAAAATATTTGTTTTAAATTAGATCAATGGGAAATCAGTATTATAAAAATCGTTCTCTGATTGGTCTATTCCAAATAATCTTTTCGATACGATATTCTAATAACTTTCTTTCACAAATGTTAAGATTATATAAAAACAATTTTCATTCAATTTGTTTTAATTATTTTGGTCTATGATATTTATCAATGAAAATACAACGTTCTTTTATGGGTGAAGGTTATTTGCTGTATATATATACATATACATATATATACAGATAAACGAGAAAGGACAAAAGTTATAACATTGTATTGTTATGCGCATGCGCGATAGAATATAGCATGCGCTTACCTCTGTCAGCCACATTGTCGATAGTCGCATTGTTTAGGCGGCCTCGTTTGTATCGTAGAGAAAATAAGTATTCGTTATTACTGTATGGGTAAATAATAAATAATATTAATAAAAAAAATTGGGACATTAAAGTTTGTTAATAACGCTTTTACAATGGCTGGCATTATGCCTTTATCAGGAAGACCCGGTAGAAAGCAATGGACGTTACACGGTGGTAATTACTTTTCTAAAAGAATAGTTTAGTAATACTATTTAATTGATTTTCTCTATCACATTTCTTAGTATAAAGCAATTATTTTGATAAAATAAAAGAAAAATGGGTTCAAATTTCTTAACAATGATTTGAAAAGCTAATAGATCAGTTGCCAAAAAAAGTTCCATAAGTATTAGACATCTGTCAATAACTCTTAGGTCAAATGTTATTTATATCGATATTTATATTCTAAAATATTTATTTTATAAAATCTGAATATGCATGTGTACATATACACACATATATATTGATAACAGATATACATATATATTGTATCTTCTTTATTATTATAATAGACAAATTGTAATATTTCATTTTTGTCAGATGGAGTACGTGGTTCCCTTAGACGATTACGATCTCAAATGGCCGAGGATGGATGCCCAGAATCTCAAGTAGTTTTAGCCAAACAACTTTTAGACGAAAGATGTGGTACATTATACATCATATTTTGTAATAGTATACATTATATATAGTACATTATTGCATTATTTTATTTAAGATTTGGAAGTTGATAAAGATGAAAATGCAAAATTGGGTGTTTATTGGTTGACTAAAGCCTCGGAGCAAGGAAATTTGGAAGCAACGGAAATTCTTAAACAATGTTTAGCTACAGGTCGTGGAATCACAGAACATAATTACTATGATGTCAAAAATTGTTTGGATATGACACAAGATGAAAAATTAGCTAAAAAAGCTGCAAGGGAAATGTTTACTAGGTAAAGATGAAGACCAAGATAATCGTCGTCACTAGTTAGTAATTTTTCCAATATTGTTTTGTATTATTTACTATTTATTATTTCTTATGTTCTTCCTATTATAAGGGTTATTCTCCTTAAGTAACTCTTGTTTGATTTTATTAATTTTTTGACTTCATATATAGTTTATCAAATGGTGAGGATTTTATTACAACGGAACAACTACAAAGATGTATGAGGGATGTAATATCTCCATCTAGTAGTAGATTCAGTAATTGTCAGTCACCTAAGTCACCGTCTAATACTTCAGATGAAAAGCTAAATGATGCTTTAAGTAATAAGTTTACTAGAAATGGGCTTCCTGAAGATAATACATCTATAAAAGAAGAAAGTAAAATACACAATGTAACTTATGGTAATTGTATAACTTTTATATTATATTTATTAATAATAAATTTAATATGAATTACTATGTACACTTTATAATTATAGACTGGATGGGTCATCAAAGTGAAAAAATAACTGAAGCAGCTTTAGTATCTGCAGCTACAAGCTATGCTCATGGAATGCTCCCGATGGTTTCTCGTTCATTGTGTATGGTAGATTCACCTGAAATGGAATTAGCTGCTATTCCTCTTTTACAAAGACCATTCATTTATCCGTTAGCATCCTTAAAGTGTTTCTATATTTGGTTAATAGAAATAATAGGCCATAAAAGTAGACCGATTATAAAAGTTCTTTTCACATCAAACATACATATACTTCTATTACTTTTGTTGTATTCCTTGTTTGGAACAGAAAGTTTAATACTTTTCATTCCAATGGCGCTCTATTATCTGTCTTTTATTGTAATGGTTATTTCTACCTTCCAGATGTTACACAGAAAGCGTAAATTGAATAATTTCCGTGTATGGTCACGCTTATTCCTCAGTTATTCAGGTGGTAATCTAAATCCTGAGGAGGCAGAGTATCAATTTTGTTGCAATAACTTAAAGCCCTATGGTCATTTCTTTCTTGCTTTATTGCTCAATCTAATAATTTATCCTGTGATAACTCATCAATGGACACCACAATCTGAATTCACTATTATTTCTGTTACATTAACATTAGTGACATTACTCAATTTTATGTGGAATAATTCATCGAATTTTCCTGATCTTTTAGCTCTCTTTAGTTTTGGCGTGCATGTACTTGCAAAATATCCTTATGAAACAGATATTGTTGTTGCGCAAGGTTGGAGATTCCTCGATATAAGAGTACCTACATTTGCTTCCTATGTTGTTGGTAATGGCATTGAATTCTGCCTCAATTTTCGTGTTGTTTTCTATTTGTTGATACCAGCAGTTTTTTGTAAAATGGCTGCTAGAGAAAATTGGCGTGGTACATATAAAACTTTAATTCCTCATTGTGTCACCCTAAGCTGGTGGCAAATAGCAATATTTAGTTCACAAAGTGCGACATGGTATGGTTTAATTAGGGGTGCTCTTGCATTAGTCGGTATGGTACTTTTTCTGCCAATTGCTGGTTTAGCTTCCATTATTTTGCCAATTATAGCAGCTGCAAAGTATTTATCAGAAAGTGATTTGGCAATGAGAATAATTGTGACTGCCATACTTGGAGGATTACCATTCATTGCTTCTTGGTACATAAGAAGATTAAGAACTCCAAGATTTAATTGGATCATTACCGTTGTGCAGGTTTTTATATTCTATCTATATTAAACATATTTATATTAATATCATCAATTAAAAATTTTTATTTAATTATTAATATAATTTTTCTGTTAGCTCTTTTTAGGCACAAGCGCTGCTATATTTTTATCATGGCAAGTGATAACAGAATATAAAGAAGATTCGGATAACAATTCATATGAAATTGCAGCTACATTATCGTGGGAGCAATACCAAAATCATTGTCATCAACCTGCGTGGGAAGATATATCATCAAAGGCGCAAGTACAAATTGAATGTGCTCATTTAGAAGGCATTCCAATCTCATGGGAAGGTTATGTAACAAATGTTCGGTTAAAATCAATTAAAAACAATATTGGTACAATATTACGTATGCTACCTGACAGTATTAGAACTACATTCAGCTGTACATATGGTGAACCATATAAAGAAAATTGTGATTCGTACGATGAAATACGTAGGAAAAATTGTGAACACTTTGTAAATATTCAAAAGAAAAGGCATAAGTGTCATTTTCCTGAATGGGATCAATATGAATTTGAAATTTTTGTTAAAATGAAAAGTGGTATATGGAGAAGCAATGCAGAAATTGTGCTCATTGCAGATCACTCGTTTACCAATTTTAGTTTAAATATATATCCACGTGATAAAATTTGGTTTTCTGGCACACTGTCAAACACAGGTTTAGAAAAGGAATCTTTACTTGGTGGTGGGAAACCTCATATTGAATTAGATGAGATTAGTTGTTTAGCCTGTCATTCTGCTAACCTCAAATCTTTTAAACGACACAAATATCACATAACATTAAGTTCGATAGTGAATAATTTTTGGCTTGGTATAAAGACTGTTCTTAATTTTCTACTAAATCCTATTGTTTTATTCAAGTAATACTAATGCATTCATTACAGGGCAATTACTATTGATTTAAACTTTTTCATTAAAGAAAATTTGAATTATCACATTTTTTCTTTTCAAGAAAGTATATATATATACAGGTATTGTATAAATGTATTCAAAAAATTAACAAACACTTTTTCATTAATACTTCGTATGAAAACAACTTCACAATAGTTAATCTTTATCCTAGATAGATCATGATAGTTGTACCCTGAATAGCAAAAATGATATAGTTAAGCAAACATTTAAGCTTTATTATCATATTTTATGTTACTTCATTCGGTCATTCTAAATTCATGTTTTATTTTAAAATATCTATTTCATAAAATCTGAGTATATATTATACACGCGCGTGCGCGCATATACATATATACACACATATACATACATACATTCATATACGTATATGTATTTTAAGAAAAACATTTATCCATATGCTTTACTGCCATTAAAACAAAATGGAGAATATGCTTGATATTTTTCTATTACATTTTCAGAATATGAACAAAACGAAAGTTCTGAATTTAATTTTTACAGAAATATAAAATCTACTAAACCATTTTAGTAATGTTGTATTGTATCTTAGATTATAAATACTGAAATCTAATTTAATTAAAATAATTAATACTAATGGAATATTTTAATTTTTCCAAAAAATAGTGATAGTACACATTAACTATATTAACAACTATTACTCATTGATATGTAAAATGGCATTGATAACAGATGGAGAAACTATGTATCTAGAATATACATCAAAATAATCTACATAATGATAAATTATGACAACATATTAATACAGTTACATATATCTCAATGTTATAAATACATGGACAAAAAACCAAGCACTGTATCAAGATAGAAACAAAAATTAATGTTATATCGATGTAAATGTTCAAAATGTGTAAGATTCTATAAGTAATACAGAAACTAAGTCCATAGAAATAATAACATTATCAGATGTATCATATCAAATAATGAGGATAATGAATAACAGATAACACAGTAAAAAAATAGAATTAGAAGTGCCTTAATATTCTTTTGTTCAAATATTAATTCATTTATATATACAAAAAAGAAAAAAAAAGAAAAAACAGAAAACAGAAAATTATGTAATATTTTTAAGAATGGTCATAGTTTTTTTTAAATAATTATTAAAGAACATTGAATTACGAGAAAAAAGGAAAAACTTGGCTTCTGCAATTAATAATAAATTTATTTTACATTTGGCAACAGATTATGATACATTATTCTTTGAACATTTTTTCATTAACAAGATAATTAATTGGTTTGGTTCTTTGTTTTCTTTATTAATTTCATATAAAAAAAATTTTATAAGAGAAAGATACTCTATAGTTATTTCGTATAGATAATAGTATTCGTTTCACTTATGTACAAATATAAAATCTATATTAATTAACTATTTTGTTTACGCTTAATCCGAATAAAAAAAGGAAAGATAATGTAAAATAAAGAAGATCATTTATGTAAATTAAAGATTGAATATAAAGACGTTTGCCATTATTTATCCATACTGAATTATTCATTCTGTATTACAATCTTAATGCGATTCACTTATTATTTTGCAAGAATAATATGAATTACAAGAATACCATGCAGTATAATTTGGGATATGAATATTTCATATGTTTGAAAAAAGTTTGTATTCTAATAATATTTGTAATAATTTTTTAGGATATACTGTGATGACAAAAATGAATTAACTCTTAATCTGATGAAATTCTTACAGGTATTTAAAAATATTATAATGATATCGAAACAATTTCGTAATATATGAAGATTATCAAAGTCAATCAGTGCAATTCTACTCAAATATGTAATTCAGAAATATAAGATTTGTTTATTGTTATAATTAAATTAAAAGAAATGAATCTCTTAGAAATTTAAACAATCAATTGCTTATATTATTAAGCAAAAATTTACATTTTCTAGCATCCTACTTTTTTACTATTCGAGCATATATATTTATTCAGGCAGTTTAAGTAATATATATATATATTTTCTTGCTTGATTTATATTTTATATCTAATATTATTAAATTCAACTTATATATACACTGATTAACTTCTTAATACTTTACATATAATAAAAGTACTTAGGTCCGGTCCAGCACAATTATTGTATAGCTTAATACATTCATAATTACGATATTACATATCATATACATATATGAATTATTTCACTTTTTTATGTCGTGTTTTGACATATATGTGATATTTTGTCTAAAAGTCTTTTTTCTGAGAAGAAATTATACTATATTAATCGTGTTTAAACCAATTTTTAGCACGACCAGTCTCATGAACACTTTAAATATTACACTACAAATATTCCTGGTACAGGAAAAATCCTGAGTAAAAGAATCCAAAATGAATTGGTTGGTAAATTACCATCCATAGAATAAATCAGTAAAAACGCTTTCGACTATTTTCCTGATGTTTTTGATATAACATAATCCCTATCACAACACAAGCGATTAATGCTAATACTCCCACAAGCATTAAGAGGAACATTTTTATACCACTTAAAGGAGTTTGTTTTGGATCATCCACACGTTCTAGAAATTAAGTTATGTTATAATTATATTTATAAATTATATTCATTTATTTAAAGATATCTTACCACGTGGGGATTCAAAGAAAGCTGCAGATGGTAAAATAGTAGATCTGTCCTCATGATCTTTTGGCTATATAAATATAAAATTTATTTTAATCATAATGGTCATGTAACATTATAAAATATTCAATTCTTTCATATACATATTTCTAATAATATTCAAAGTTATACAGAAAAAAATACTTACATCATCTGGTAAATCTAATTCGAATAGACGAATCGATAAAATGTCATGGTTATCACTTAGATCTCCTGTTGTTGCAGAGATACCAAAGTAATAGCCTGTAGGTAATTTAATACCTTTCACAGAAAAACATTCTTTCCAAGCTGCTTTGTTTGCTATATCCGTGGAAACTGTATCATAAAGATAATAATTTTAAATTTGTATTAATTACAACAAAAGTGTATATACTAATAATTATGATTTACCAGTTAAAATATCTTTTTCGTATCTTATTGCTATATGTGAATCATGATCAAGATTTCTGAATTTTGCTTCACATCCTGCAAGTTGTGTATGTGTTCCATCACGATCATGATCATAATGCAAAGAGCCATTATTTACCATAGCTGAAACATAAGGATGTTGATGCTGCAAATAGAGAAAATATTATAATTATACATAGAACATAATAATTTGTTACAATTAAACGATTAATATTATATTACATTGTGAGGACCATTGTGATTGCTGTATGTATCGAGTATTATTGCTAACCCTTGAAAATAATCCATATTTCCAAAAACAGGACCATGTTTCATACGTTGTTTAGCATACCAAATAGCAAAACCATCTCCAAATAAGTCCTTTTCTTTTCCATGTACCTTAAAATGTACTTGGAGTTCCCAGTTTCTGACAAAACAAGCCTATAAAACGTACAATCATAAATATATTTTCTTATAACTTTTATAATAGTAAATAAAAAATTAAATTGTATAAATAAAAGAAATAATATGAAAATATTTTCTTACAACAGAGTTCCATATTGCTCCTTGTTTACTTTGTAAATCTGGTGTCAACCTTACATAGTTATTTGTAACCATTGTACTACCCATAAAATCCCAATAAGGAATTGTCATACCAGAACCTATAAAATATTCATTCAAATATTCCTAATATTAAATTATTAATGATTTGTTTTACGAACTTTTTGTTTTAAATTAACAATATCATAACCTATAAATATGGTTTCAATTAAAGAAACGATATATGATTTAGAAATGATAACAGAAAAATTTGATTGAAAATTATTACGTAATAATTAATATTACAAAATTCAATTTACAAACCTTGATAAGGGCGTATTAAAGAATGTTCTCGTTTCATATAATCCTTTGTATTCCATTCTGCACCGGTAGATTTTAAAATACTCACGATTAAGACGTAAATTAAAGTTACACACATCTTTTTAAATTGAATTATTACTATTACTATATATTTATGAATAATTTATAACAATTGTTTTTATAACAACGGGAATTCACAAGTATTACTGGAAATATACAAAAAAAATATAAGCCTGACAGAAAGAACACAACTTGCAAGTTTAGAAATAGATGAAGATAGAGATAGAGTGACGAGTCAGTTCCTTATTATTACAGGAGTATTCCTGTTTGATCGGTACAGATCACGTTGAAATTCGATGATAATATTAATGATAAAAAACAATTTTCAAAAATTTATACACCATATTTTATTTGTGATTTAATTAAATTAAATTAATTCAAAATTTTGTTGAGAAATTTTTTAAAATCGCTACTGATGCTACTGCATTTGTCTTGCTAAAAAGACAATATAATACATCTGTTTTCCACTAGTGTCGCTCCTATCACATCCAATTTATAAATTTAATTTAAGCGCCAATTTAGAATTTGATTATAAAAATATATTGTCCCTTGATTAAATAAACAATTGTTATTATTATCAAAAACAGTCATAAAACTAGATATTTCAGTAACAAGGAAATGATTCACTTCGATACAAATTTCTGAATAGTAACAGTTTTTATTAAGTTAATCTATTCTCAATCTACTGTGGTGTTTACATTAACATAAGAATTTCAATATTCACATATGGAGTTATTAGACATATATTTATAATTGTGATAACTTTTTCTTTTTAATTAAGCACGCAAAAAATAATTTATACATTGTCATCGATTTATATGCGAATTGATAAAATCATCGATTTTACTATTTACATAAACTTATTAATTTATTTTTTTAGGTTTTCATAAAAGTATATTGTACTTGTTACGAAAACTTTATTATATTTTTTGGCGATCCCTTTAGTGCTTACATCGTCATATATTGTACAAAATGATAAATAAGAGTTTAATAACGTATCTTTTGTCAAGATTTCAAGTAGAAAATTATAAATGATAGGTTATAAAATACTTTTGATATTACATTTAATAGTCTCTTGCTCGTTTCTGTTACAAATAATTCATATATAATACAAATTAATTCATAAATTAATGTAATTATGTATGAAAATATGTGGAATATACATAACCATCACGCACTATTATTTCATTGCAATACTTAAAGCACATTTTGTTTTATATATATATATATATATATATATATATGTGTGTGTGTGTGTGTGTTTTGTAAAATATCCGACACAATTAATGTATTGTTCTATTTTATCATATATGTAGGAAACATTAATATGTTTAGTTGATTGTACAATAATTATTCTATTTATTGATATTTCACATTTTCATCTAATATTTGCACGCACCGAAGGGTTAATACAAAATTTTTTACGTGCATAAATAAATATGTATTTATTTGAAACTTAGTCAATTTTGAAGAACTTGATTGAGAAAGTACTGTTTTATTTACACATGATTTTTTTCAATTGAGTGGAGGCCATTTTGATTTATAAAAAAAGTGCCTTATAAAACATTAATTTCAGTCTTAAACTTAGGAAGCATATGTATCTTCTAAGAAGTTCACTTTGACTTTAGGAATATATAAGATTGATTTGTCTACCAAACAACAGCATTGATGAATTTTCTTTTCCACGATTCTTAATTTTAATAATAATGATCTTTTAATATTTGAGCTAACAACATATATATTATCTACAAGGCATTATTAAGATCATCAATGCAAGTTGTTTTATTTTTGAAAGATGTTAAAAATATACTAGATATAACATGATTAATAATACTTCTTCTCTCTCCATAGTTTGGCGCAGATCAAAGTAATAATAATTTTACATTATAATTTATTACAATAACGTAGGCTTCCAACTTCGATTCAGAACATGAAAAACAAATGTTGCTTATTATAGTCAAAGCATGTATTTGAAAGAACTAATTATATATAAATATTTAACAATATGGTACAAATTATGTATAATTGCATTATGTTTATAGTTTACTTCGAAAAAGTACAGAATAATTAATAAGCTAATGTTTGCAAATTTTATTTGATATAATATAAGCAAAAACTAAAACTATTTTTATGTGACAAAGTTCAATCTTAACTAAAACTTTGGTGTAAGTTAAAAGGACACCTTTTAAAAATGTTGATTATCTCACGGTTGATATCTTGTTCTTCCATAGTTAGTGTACAACAATGGAAAAGGAATGCAAGCAAATTTACTCTGAGAGTCTATAATTTGTTAAAAATGTTCAGACATCAATGTTATTAAATATTGCATTTGTTTGCTTATCAAGATTTTTCGTATCATGTCATGAAAGATAGACTAATATTAAATTGTGCAAACATATTCTAATTTAAATTTCTTATACTAATTTTTTTTACACAAAATCCAGTTTTTTTTTATCATGGAAATGCATTGTTTCTAAAACACTCCATGTATTACAATTATTACTTGAAGCTATCTCATTTTTTACTAACCACAATGGCATTACCATAGCTAATGTAAGTCTATTGAAATTTGGTTCATAACATGGCAACAAGGCTAACAAATTTAAAAACAGAGATAAAACAATCTGTGCAATTAATGTAATTTCAATATTACATACAAATAAATTGTAGATATTACTGAATAGATAATTAACATGATTAGAATAATTCAGCAATTATATGCTATTAATAATGATTCATAAGAGCATCAGAGCTGTTAATACAAGTTGATATTTGGATAGCATAAAGTGGCACATGTGTAATTCATAGACGAAAAACAATACCATAAGTAACACTAAATATTTATATACCTATTATCATATTACATTTGTAAAACAATGTCTTTCAAAAATATGAAGAAATCTTTTTCACTAAGATATACTTGATATTGTACTAAAATTGAAAAACATTGAAAACATTCCAATCTATATATATAATAATTATTCAATATTTTTTTTTTCATTACTTTAATCATGTGTTTAGAATAATTTTAGTTCCTTCCTATTTACAGGAACATAGTTAAAGCAGGTACTCTCATTTGTAGCTGCTATAATTTTAGTATATGAGAATCAGCACAAAATTCCCCTTGATTATGGTAATGCAAGAAATACTAATACAACTATTTCAAGTCAGTATTACAATACATCATACAACAAGAGATAATATGACACGTCGTGAATCATCAATTTTTAGATGTTTATATTCATCTTTCATTACCTTGACTAATTTTATCTGTTTGAATTTGGTCTATTGTTTCAGCTTGCATGCTTGTTTCATTCAATATATCATCGGTATTAGGACCAATACAAACTGGCGAAGGACTATCCACTTGTTGAAAGGAAAAACTTGGCGAATCTGCACTAGATATTGATTCAGGAGTTCCAACAGAACTAATGGTACCAGAAAGTGGACTGGATATTGTATCTAATCTGAATGTAATAAATATAAAATTAAATATATATATTAAAGTTATCAAAATTTATATTATAATATGAAAAAGATATGAATGATTTATGAATATTACCTGAATGCACTTTGTGTTATAGAACCAGATGTACGTTTGGCTGGAGGATACAAATGATGATCTACACCAGTATCATCTAATTCAAATTTTCGTTTAACAGGTCCTAAACAGCTTGGCCTTATTGGACTTAGACTACGCCTATAAAAAATTAATGATAAATTATATGGTTATATACTTTTTTAAATTTGTTAACTTTAATATATTTGGCAATTTTCTATTTATTGGATTTATTAAACTAATTTATACCTTGTAGCAAAAGCCTTTCTCGTTGGACTAGGTGACAAATTATTCTTCCAATTAACCATATGAATACCAGGAGAATAACACTGTCGTTGATTTAATCCCGATCTTGTAGGTGATGGTGATGAACACAATGGTGGACCATTCACGGATAAATTTAAACTGAGCGGATCTAATATCCTTTTTGCTATTTGTCGTTCTGCTCTATTGAGATGAGAAGGAGATTCTGAATCCTTAAATGATAAGCCTTCTGCTTCTAGGGTAAGATCTTCCCATGATTGAGATATTTGCATTGCACTGTGAATTTCCTTTTCATGCGCAGCTTCACGACCAGCAACATCTATACATTCTTCTTGCCTTAATTGGCTAACTCTTGGCGTTAAACGTGGTATACTACAAGGACTCTATAATACGCAAAACAATGAGATAAAAATATTTGAATGCCGAATTTTTGTTATTATAGCATGTAATAAAAACTATACATTTTCAATTCTATATATATGAAATAGAGAATATCTTACACTAGTGCTGAATCGTCGTAGACGAGGTGAATTGGCAAATACATTAAATGTTGATACAGCATTTCTGAAAATAATAAAATATACAAATCACAGTTAAATAACAATCTAATATAAGTATAAAAAAGTTATTAAGAAATCTTCTCAGATTTCTTATAATCATAATATTGAGAATATAGGTCTTTTTTCATAGATCGACTTTGTTAGATAAAACTCTTATATAAAAAGTAAAATAACATACAGAGATTGTTTATCGAAAATATATATAATCTTATTAAAAGAATTCAAATTTATCGGATAATTACGATGGTGTCTATTAAAATCTAATAAAATTTGAATTTGAGTGGTCCAAGAGATTTATATTTCCACTCAGTTAATGATAAAAGAAGAATGATTGAAATTGTCATTTCTGAAGATATTTTAAAGAAAATATAAAATTATTTATTTTACAATGGGAATAAAGATAATACTAAAAAATATGTTTAAATAACGGTGTTTAAATAATAATCGATTATAGATACCTTGGTGCAGAAGTAGAGGGTGAGGTAACAGACATTGTGGCACTGATCTCATTAATCATAGGCGCACTGCTTGATCGTTTTAAACTGACTATCGGACAATCAACATCCATGATTGTCAAAAGTCTCTGTCAATTCATGTGTTTCTCCGCGAGCAATATCCACAAAAGAGGGACACATTGAAATTAGTCTTGGGTTGCGTCTTTTATCGCGATATCGTTAATAAATATAAGAGATGTTGCTGAAGTTATTACATGGACGGCACATAGATTGATTGGTAAAAAGATGAACGTATGACAAGTAACGTATAACGTAACATGTGTTTTTACAATTCCGTATGGAAAGTATGAAAAATTCTTCTTTGAAATAGTGTTTCTTATCCTTGTAATTTTGCACACTTTATATCGAGATGTTTTATAATCGGCTTAAATTCATCTTAATAAAGAAGAAAAAATATAGAATACACTAAAAGAAACACTCGTGTACGACAGATCTTTTATATCGATTGTGAAACTGAATTTTCTACTTGTTCGTCTACTACAAAGATTACTACGAACTTTTTGTCGACTCAGGGACAACGAAACAGGGTATATCCTACTCCGCACTCCGTCGACAACTGGAATGAGCGTGGCTCTTTGCTTGCAGTGATTTTTATTAGCCTGCCCAAGTCAAACACAATTGTGCTAGATAGTGCCAACTTTCTTGCCAACGGAGATATATATACAATTTCTTGAAAACCAATAACAATAGGACTTTACCTAGCCATTGACCAATCATGAAACTTTCAGAAGAAGAATAATGGTTGAATTAAGCAGGATGCATCCCCATAAATATGTTATTCAAAATGGAGTGAGAAACATTGTTCTTTACATCTCTTCTTTCTTTTATTTTCCCTTAATCATTATTATATTATGTCATCTATAATTATATATTGTTTAAAAATGAAGGATTTATAGGGATTAATAGACGGGATTGTGTATTATCTGTTTAAATTATATTTCGAAGTGCTCTTTGGAAAATTCAGCATACTCGATCAAGAATATTCGAACAATAATAAAACATGTCCCTTTCGATGAATAATTTACACATACTTGATTTAAATAAAATCAATGTAATGTTTACAGAAATACTAATTTACAAGATAATAAGAATTATCAATTTCCCGGCTCTTTTAAATGCGTTAATTAGAGATATAATTTTTGAATATTTTCTTTTATATACATAAATAACTTTTTATTAACGATAATATTTACAAATAAAAGATAGAATAACATAAATTATATTTGATATAACCTTCTTATAACATAATAGAAACATACGAAATTATGTGGATTAACACGAGAAATGAAATATAAGTAAAAAAAGTCTACTAATGACATGTGATCAGAAAACTTAATGGAGGATGATGAGTGAAGAGCGTAACCGAAAGGATCCCAACATATGTCATTATATACTTGTGAGCATGAATGATACGACATCGACAGAGACAAGATTATTTGATCCTAACCTATAAATCTTTAACAAAAAAGATATATATGTATAATTCGTTATTCTTAAGTTATTAATTATTACTTCGTATTACTTTACATTTATTCCAACGACATATAGCTTATGCATATTAATATACTATGATTATTTGTAATTAAACAATATTGCATTTGTTTAAACATCACATAGCTATCAATGCAGTTGGAATATAAAATAATTTTAATTTGAAATCTTATATCTTTGTTGTCCATTAATTGTAAACTAAAACATATGTATTTAGATGAGTAAATAGATTTGTAGCCACTTTATACGTACAAACATTACTATTGTATAATGATACTTTGTCCTAAGATAAGTATAAAGGGATAACCTATAAATAATAGAAAAGGAAACTTGACTGTAGATACACGTAGATATAGCAAAATTGTACTTAAATAATATGTTCATTGCTTTTAATCGTTGTAAAATGTATTCAGTCTTTAATATCGAATGAATCTTAATCCTAGTTTAACTAGTTTGTGTGGCAATTATATGTTCTGGAATTTCTGATTGCTTTTAATATAAGATAGATTGCATTACTTCATTAACGAATAAATAATCTGTATTCTTAGCTACTACTAGATGCTTTCGTTGGAAAATTATTATAACTGCAAGATGAACTTCCAACAATGTAATGGGAAACGCTATTCTCTACACTTTTATAAGGCAGCTGTGTATACAAGGCATTAATTGGATAAGCATTATTTAGAAGATAAGTGGTGGAACTACTAGACGATCCCATAGATCTTAAATACTCTTCTCGTTTCTTTGTTGTAGCTTGTCTTTGAATTGTTGTAGTTGGAACATTTAATACCTATGATGATTAAAATATAAATAAGTATAAGACGTATGTATTAACTATTACTTGTGTAATAGATATTAAGTAAAAGAAAACTTACTTTTGGCATGCCAGATTGAATACATTGGGCTAAAATAATATCTTCTTCTTCTTCCGAAGGACTGTAACTATCTTCTGTAGGATAAAATACGCTAGTTGAGCTGTACGAAGTAGTACTATGTTCTTGCGTTACCTGAAAATATAAAATAATATGTAAGCGGTAGGGACATTCTAATAATATAATAAGTTTTACTTTTTCTGGTCGAAGTCTTGAAAATAAAGAGGTGGGACATTGAGTTCTAGGCTTTGTTATCTTAGTTCCCTTTAATAATGGCGATGGTGAGCATCTTAATCGAGCCTACAAAAAGATATTTATATAATGTAACTTTGATAAATTGATAGCTATATAATAAGTGGTACACTAGTAGTTATACTGGCAAGTAATTTATGTAAAATATATTAATAAAATACCTTTGCAGATTGTATACATTCTATTAAAATAGCTTCGTCATCCGAATGATTTGGACTATCATCCGAAAATTCCTTTTCATTTTCCATTGATATATGGCATAAAGGTTTAATTATTACAGAATTTTTATTGTTAGAAGTCGATTCAACGGGAGATGACGAAGGTGTCCCACATATATTAAATTTTGGTGGTACGGTCTCAGGTTTTTTCACGCAAGGTATACTTTTCGTTGGAGGTGGGGTAATTTGTCTCACCTTTAAGCAAAAAATATTATGTAATTTTATTGATAACATTGAAATTATATTGGAGATATTTTCATCTATTATAGAATATACCTTTGGTATACCCGATTGAATGCATTCATCAAGAATTTTTTCATCTTCGTCAGAAAGATTATAACTTTCATCCGAAAGATCATTTCTGTGGCATTCAAGTTCTGAAGATTTAATTGGTTCAATTTTCTCTATATCTTCTGGAACACTTGGCATAGATAAGACAGAAAGATTTGATTGTGAACCAACCGGAGAGATACCTGCTGGTGTATCTTCTGTACAATAAACATGTACTGTATCTGGGACAACAACAATTTCCATTGGTGGTTTACAAATTTTAGAGACAGCCGGTGACTCTCCAGGGGAAACAGAAACACAAGCTTGTGATCTATTTAATGGTGACTTTTTGTCGCATGACATTAAGACACTTGTTGATTTAGAATGCGTAGATTTTGGAATACTTTCGGTTTTTAAGGATTGTCTGTATCTGTAGTGTATATATAGTTATTGTCGTGTATATAATGTTTGCACATGCAATTAATATTACAGAATAATTAGAATACCTATTATTTTGTATTCCCATACTAATACAAGCAGCTAGCATATCTTCATCATCTTCATCGCCATCACTTATTTGTTCTGGTTGTTTTTCAACTTCAAGAACATTTACTTTTACAAAAGATGTACTTTTATCGATATTTTGATGGATTGGTTCTGATATTTCTTTCAATTTATCTCCACTTTTGGGATAATCAGAACTTTTCACTTCATCGTCAATAGTTAAAGAACTCAGACTTGTGGTGGTAGAAAATTCTATTGGTGTTGATTCTTCTTTAAAAGTAGCAATATCATCTTCAAAAACACTAGTCCTTTTTACACCATATTTTGAACACACTGAAACAAATAAATACTTAATATATTGTATTGTGGTAATTATGTAGAAATAGGAAGCTTGTGTAGCTTTACTAATTAGCAAAATTGTTAGTATGTATATTAATGTTTTTGTTAAAATATATACCCTAATAGTATATTCAATATCATTGCATACATAAATGAGAATGCGATGGTTTTACTTCTTCTTCTTGCATTTTATTCATAAAATCTGTAGATTTTATTTTTTGTATTCTGGGGCTGGGTGGTACAGTTTGGGTTGGAGAATCTGGCAATTCACTTGGCGAAACAACTCCACTTGTTCTACGGCTAAAAGAAAAATACTTCAAATAGTAAAAACAATCTAAAAATATACAACTTGTAATGTATACAAATTATGTCGCATGTACCTGAAATCACTGACAACGGAGCTACGGTCATCATGTATAGAATGCTGTTCGAAACCACTCAATGAACCAAGAGAACTACAACGTGAAAACATTAGAGGTGTTTGTTCAGCATAAAAATCTTGTCCACTGAATGTTACCATTTTTCCTGAAGATAATATTAGGGTTTAATATTGAAGAAAAAATAGATAATCTTTTACTTTTTAACATAAACTTTAAAAGACATACCTTCCTTATCGACAATACGTGAACTATTTTTACTTTCCATAGGACTATTGCTTATTGAATTAGAAATTAATTCATTCCTATTTAATTCTGTTACATTAGAATTACTTGTTTCTGGTTCTGATTTATTCATAGAATTCTCTAAACTTGCTTTTGATATTATTTCAGATACATTATTGCGTTGTGCTATTTCACTGTTAAAAGAACTGAGCGAATTAACACAGGAAGAACTACTAAATTCTTCTTCTTTATAATAATTAATTGGCTTTTCAGGAATCATATGATTTGAGCTTATACTAATAATATGCTTTTGTCTCTCTGTACTTTCTGATATCAAATGTTGTTGCTCGTGACATTCTTCTGTTCTTCTATCCTCGAAAGATATACTTTTTTTATGTCTAGCATCAAGTCCTTTCTTTTGTGTCTTTTTAGAATGATCATTATCTTTTGTATCTTCGACTCTTAAATCAGACATAGATGTTGCAGTAGAAAAGTTAAAAGGTGTTTCGTAAGGTGTACCTTCTGTACAATATGTTTTAATAGTATCTTCTTGTACGCTACCGGAAAAGTATTCTGTAGTTGGTTTCTCATCTTCATCAGTGTCATTTTCTGCATATCTTAAACTATAGTCCGTTGGTTGATCAAGATCTGTTTCTGCATAATCTCCAAATAATACTGTTTCAGATTCACATTCTTTAATATCCTCATTTGCTGACTGATTTTTCTGTACATCATTTAAAAGATGATTTTGCTTTAATCTATTTCTTTCAATATATTTCTTACTGTAATCTACTGGTTGATCTCGTATATCATCGTCATAAGTTTCTGTTGCATTTTCATCCATATTACTTTAATTTAACAGTTATTTAAATACTTTTGAAAAACTATTTGAAATAATGCAAATCGATAAAGGCACAGGTATTCTCTCAAATTATGTTAAAAACAATTCTCTAACATCATTAAAATTCTACTGGTAACACCTGTTTAACGATTAATTACAAGTTCATTTACCTGTCATTAAAAGGGTGAATGCACATGCATTTACATGTGGAATGGTTGGTGCACTAATGCCGTCATGTGCGCTATCTATCGGCTAAACCCCATATTAAAAAAGATATATTAATCCATCTTAATTTCCGACAGACACAAAAATAATATAATTTATGTTTGTAATCGAGAAAATTAATGCTTCAAAGAAATATTTCTTATTACTTATCGATCTAATCTTTAACATCAGTAATATAGCAATGATATTTCAATAAAACTATTTTAATTAGATTTAATTTTAAGTTTAAACACAACTTGTTAGGAAATTAAATAATAATATAAATATTTATTTGCACAAGTTATGCGTATTTTATTATAAATGTTATTTTAGAATAAAAGACTATAATATATATAAATAAATAAATAAATAAATAAATAAATAAATAAATATATATATATTTATATAATTTATATTATTTAAAAATAATTTACATTGAATTGTTTGCTTGTTATTTTTTTCTTTATAGAACAAAAATTATCAGGTAAAAGAAATGAAAGAAAAAAACAATGTTAGATGAAAACAGATCACAAGCAATGACGCTTGCGCGACTCATTTGACAGTGGTTCTCCAAATATACGCAGTAAGGGATCCCGCGAAGCTCGTCATTCGTCGCGCGTCTTTCAAGCGCGTCTGTCGACGATTATTCGGATTCGCGAGTGTGTTGGTAAAGACTAAATGTGTTATGTCTCATTCGTCTTGAGACCACGTGGCTTGTTAGTTTATATGTTCCCGCGCGATTCTTTTACTCTACCCATCGGCCAATCACCATCCTACTTCGTTTATTACAACGTACGATAAATTTTAACAAGTGCAATTATTTCATTAGTGATTTTTTCTTCTCTTTGTTTAAATTATTCAAGAATATAATTTCTTCTAAAGTTTGATTGTCTTCGTCTTTACACGATGTTACAAAGTTTTTCTAAATATAAATAATATCGAAAGTTAATGTACATTGTAGGTTAAATGTGCCAAAATAATTTTAAATAGATGTCATAATTAAAACAAAAATTTTACGAGATAGAGAAAGAGAGAGAGGGAGAGGAGAGTAAAATTAATTTTGGAAGATTCACAAAATTAATACGGATAATATTTTCATTCATTTTTTGATATTGATAATTAATTACAATAGTTGTACTTTAGTAACTAGTTGATATAATTGAAGTTGTTAATGATTTGAACCAATCAACGACTTTTGTATCATTTCAATAACTTGAAATATATTGAAAGACTTTGAAAGATCGATTAGAAAATTCGTACATTAGTTTGTTAAATTATTTCGAACAAAAACGATGCGAATAAAATTCATTTTTACAAGTGTAAGGATGGACAGTTTAGCTTATTTCCTTTAATTCTTCAATAATTTTCCAAAGTGTTTGTGTTGGTGATATGTCCAGAAGAAAGCAGGCGAAGCCACGATCCTTAAAACGTAAATATTTTTCTATCAAATATTTTTAATTCTTATTTCAATCATGTTACAATGTTTCAAATTACTTTCTTTTATAATTCATTTATGTTTAGTTTATAAAAAATAAGTAGACGTTCCAAAAATTGTTTTTAACCTAAAACTTACTAATATTTTCAAAGTTAATTTTGAATTTTTATATTTAAAGATATGTATTAAGGAGAAACTTTTCGCGCGGATATATGTGTGTGTACATATATATATACATATTGTATATATGCGTAGAAAAATACATCGATCGAAAGTTTGATCAGCTTGTTAATAAATGTTTACAAATTTACGCGACATTGATACATTGGTAGAGAAGTTAAATGTCATTGTATCCTGGTATCAAGATGTCGGAATATAAAAGTATAGTAAAAGTACAGTAAAACAGTAGAAAATATTCCGTAATCATATAATCATATTTCGTAGAAAACTGGAATAGCATAAGGATTGCAAGTAATCAATAGCTTTACAAGATCAAAAAAGTCTATGAATTTGTTCGTTTACATTGTATAGAAACGAAACAGAAACAAGAAATTTTTGTATCTTATTTTTTATCTAAGAAATGAAACAAAATTGCATACATACATAGAGGTACTTTATTTTGTTTCTTTTATATATATATATATATATATATATTCATATATTTTTAGATTTTAAATCGACGAAAATCGAATAGACACGAATTATCGACATAACTATACGATCGATATTAATAATACGCATCATCGATAATGTTTGCATCGATCGATAAACAAGATGGCGGCCGATAGTATCGTCAACACTTTGAATCCAAATCTTAATTATGGACAATAATTCATTGTTTATTATATAGAAGAAAATAGATATATTAACAGGTACTTAAATTCAAATATTTTTATAAACCATTTCATTTCATCAAAAAAATTCTCTTTATCGATTGCAAATTGTTTTAACTGTCGACGAGGTTAGGATATCGCAAATAAACGTTTATAATAAGAAAGACACGTGAAGAAATAAGAGGCGAAAAGGTAAAGAAATTACAATTTTGTTTCTAAAAAAGAATGAAGAGGAGGAGAAGGAATAAACACATCAGACAGCACATTCGTGCTCGTATAATGTCATGCGTGAGTGTCTGTGTTGGCCAGGTGTTTCGGTCAGGATGGAAGCATACGTATGTGGTGGTCGAGCGAGAGAGGATCGGGAAGAGGATAGGAAGAGCGAGAGAGCGCGCGAGAGAGAGAGAGAGAGAGAGAAAGAGAGAGAGAGAGAGAGAAAGAGAGAGAGAGAGAGAGAGAGAAAGAGAGAGATGCAGTCAGTAGTCAGCCAGGATGGAATTAGGTGGAAGCCCGCGGGAACGGTGCTTCTCCCTAGAGAATCTCCGGCCTCTGTAATCACCAGTTCTCCTATCCTATCCAATTCTGGTCGCACTCCTCTCCTCCCTCTTCCTCTTCCTCTTCTTCACCCTTTCTCTCTCTCTCTCTCTCTCTCTTTCTCTCTCTCTATCTCTCTCTCTCTCTCTCTCTCTCTCTCTCTCTCTCTCTCTCTCTCCCTTTCTCCTCCTCTCTCTATCTTGCTATTTCTTTCACTCTCATCTTTCCACTTTTTATCTTTATGTATGTACCTACATATGCGTACAACATATTTGATTCTTTTCTATTAGACACTATTCAAAGTTTTGTACAATTTTTCATAAATCTCTAATTAAGTTCATTTCTCTTTATTTTTATATTATCTTATACGTATATATAGTTTTATAAGATAATTTTTTGAATTTTATTTTTTCTAGGAATGGAAATGATGAAATTGATATAATATTAATTATATTGTTGAAGATAAATCATAAATATTATGTCTAATTTCTATGCAAAATTAATCGGTATGGTACGTATGGTCAGTAGTCTCCACCACGATTAGAATGTCACGAGAGCGCGGTTAGCCACGAAATAGCAAGCCGAACCGATATCGGTACGAACGTAGTGATATAGGGTGTCGCTAATTAATGCACGATAATGAACCTACGCGTAGCCGAAGCTGTATTAATGGATTCCAATGCCCATCATAACGTGGTCGATCCATAGATACATTCAAACCGCCTATAATTACGTTAATGGAGACCCATCTGTTTGTACGGTTCGGTTTTAAGTTACTCACCGTGCAATGACGAAATCGTTACTTCCTCGAAATTCTATTGGATCATTTATAGCTTCGTAATTTCAAATATTCGTTAAAGTCGAAGAAAAAATATGGTTTATATGTTTAATATGTTTACATTAATATGTTATCATATTATTCATATATATATGTAAGCAAACTATGATCATTCATTATGTTTCTAGGCCATGATTAGGATCGTTCGCATAAATGCATAATTATTATCATTTCGAAATAGATCAAACACTATGAGTAAACAAAAATCTTTTGAAACAAATTTATTTATATATCTAATTTTCTTTAATAATATCTCTTCTTAGTAGAAACTGATAGTATTATGAGAAAGACAAGCAGTGGCTAGTAATAGGAATGTAAATTTCTGGCTTAAGCCCTTTAATCGTAGAGGTTCTCTAAAACCTAAGCCGCTATTAGTTTTTGCTCTGACAAGACTAATTCCTGCTAGTGGTTACAATCATTATAATACTGCGGCACTTTGGATTAAGTTATTGGCTTCTCGTTAAATTATTATCTATGGTAATGTGCCTCTCCCTTCCTTTATTAGAGAGATATTGTCATTACGACTTCGTCTATGTTTCTTACTACGAAATCATTGGATTTATCGGTCAAAATACGTAGGTTAGTGAAATTAGAGTCCCCCTCCCTCTTCTCTCTTTCTTTTTCTCTAGAAGTACCGATGGACTCCTCGTACATACATGTGACGAAGGTAAGACGAAGCGATGTCTCGAAAGGTGCGTGGAATGCGGAACCGGCGCGTACTCTTAAGAAGAACACGAAGAGACATTCCCGAGGAGAAGCGGTATCTCTTTGAAGAGACACCAAGCGTTGACATCCATGCGTCCATCCGTCCGTTCATTCGTTCGAAGCAATTTTTCACCGTCCTATTTTCTTATATCAACCTCATAATTTCATACCATTAGCTATTCTGTAGGATAGTTTGATCGACCAGAAGCAACGTTTTCTAATTAAACTGAACGAAAGAGCGTCAAAAAGAAATCATAAAATCCTTGAAACATAGATGTTATTAAGTAAAAAAGTTGCAACGTCACTATATATCGTGTTTGAGGATCTCGAGTAGGAAACGTAGTGGAATGGAGCTGGTAGGATAGGAAAAGAGTTTCCGCAATATCCGTGGGTCCTCGAGGCGCCGTGTCGGAGCCAGAGGGGGTTTCGACGGTGGATGTTGGTGTCTCATGGGAGTCTGAGTCCGCGTCAGACCTACCCTAGGTACGTTCCCTCGGGATTTCTCGACTTTCCTCTTCCATCCAGCAGCCCCTCGTGTACCACTGACTGCAGCAACGGCACCGATGGCTGCAGCAACGGCAGTTCTCACACACACACACACACACACACATTCTCTCTCTTGACTGTCTGGCTTGCCTGTCACGAATCCAAGACGTACGGCGTCTGCAGCC